GGTGGAAGGTTCATGAAAAGTGAAGTACTTTGCAAGTGTCCGTTGTCCCCGCCTCCTGAACCCATTTGATTAATTTCAAGTGGAAATAGTCACGCTCCACAGAAGAAGCCAGAGGCACCGCCCAGCAGCCCCACTACAGGGCAATGGGCTCCACTCGCCTGCCCAGGACACCCCACAGGGCACAGGCCCCTCCAGGCACAGGAGCCAGGGCATGCGGAATGGCCTTTGAAGAGACTCAGGAAGCCTCTCCGTCCTGGGGCACAGCCCCCAGGCTGACCCCCCAGCCGCCTCGGTCAGGGGCCCGCTGCGTGTCTGTATGAGAGAGTCTGTGTGCGCGCGCGTGTGTGTGTGTAAGAGAGAGACACCAAGAGAGGAGGAGAGAAACAGAGGCACAGAGGAGATGGGGAGACAGACTCAGAGGCAGAGGCAGAGAGACGGACAGGCAGGGGTTATTACAAGGAGCTGGCTGCTCTGAGGGCTGCAGACAGAGATGGGGGTGGGGGAGGGGCGGGGCCCTTCTGGGGACCCTTTTGGGGACTCTTCTGGGGGTCCTTCTGGGGGCCATCGGCCTGAGATCCAGTCAGACCCAGCATTTCAGTTGGGGATGAAGTGCTGCTGTGGGGCTGTCAGTCGGGCCTCATCCACTCTGCAGGGTCTTCCCTCAGTCTGTTCTTCAGCTGGGGGGTGAGGCTGCTCACACAGGGAGGACAGCTACTTGGCTTGGCTTGTGACAGAGGAGGCTCCTGAATTTACCCCCCCCAGGACCCACCAAGGAACCCCCCCACACCAGACAGTGGGACACCCCTGAGGTGGGTCAAAGAGGCTGAGACAGTCTCATGGGACCCTCCACCCTCAGAACATGCCACAAATTGGGGGAGAGGATGATTTGGGATCGTGATTCCTGGCTTCTCCATAAGGCCCGAGGACCTGGACCCCACCTCTAGAGCCCCAACCTTGAAGACTTGCTCCTGTGGGATGGCTCCCACCTTGCTCTGGGAGCTACAAGGGTGTCGTCAAGGCAACAGTTCTGACAAGGCTCCCAGGGACCTGGTCCTGTCCCCTCCCTGTCCCCCCAGGCCTATCCCCTGAGCTCCCGGACACCTGCTCCCACACACTGTGGGGCATGGGGAACATTCTCCCCGTGGATGTGTTCAGGGCAACTTGCTATCGTGCAATAAATAACTATAAAAATAACTGTGTATACTCAAAACTGTTTGCTGCGAGGGTTGCTGAGATGGCAGAGAAGCTTGATAATCCTGTCACTGAGACAGTAAGTAGTAGCCATGTCCCGTCCTGTTTTCGCATCCTGGGCAGCTGTGTAAGAGAATGTCCTTGTCCTCACAGACGGGGCCAGAGCCTGTGGCCCCTCGGCCCAGTGCCGGATCCTGTGATTCTGGAGCCACATGCATGGGTCCAGCCATGTCTCGTGTCCAGACAGACAGGGTGACAGGGAAAATCTCGTAAAATGTCAACATTTGGAAACCCCAGGTGACAGATAGATGGCGATTCTTTGCACTATTTTCTGTGGAAAATGCTTCAAAATAAAAGGCCTGGGGCAGAGGTGGGTGTTGCTCAGTCTCATAAGTAAGTGCTTTCTAAGCTGAGGTTTGGACTCTCTTGCTTTAGAATTTTATGTAGTGGATACAATCAGGACGCGGAGGGAGAGAAGCGGGAGGGGAGAGAGCAGGGAAGGGAGGGGGAGGTCCCTGTATTAGCATGGGTGTGGGGGTGAGGACTGCTGGGCTTTGATGCGCTGGCTCTCTGCCCTCATGAAGTTGGAGAAAGCTAAACAGCTAAATAAAGTGTGAGCGAAGTCCTGGTGTCTCCCCTCCCCCCCACGCCTCCCCCGCCCCGCCCCGCCCCGCCCCGCCCCGCCCCGCCCCTCCTCGCCCCTCCCCTCCTCTCCGTCACGGTAGGGTCCCGGGCGGGGGAGCCTCAGGTGAGAGGCTGAGCGCACACGGGGTGGTGCGGGACCCTACTTAAGAGCCCCTGCTCGGCAGCCGCTGCCTCCTGCCCCAGCCCTGCCGTCGGAGCCGTGGAGGTTTGGTCTGGACGCCGCCGCCGGCCGCCGCGTGGCATGGGCGCCGCGGGTCTGCGCTGGGTGTTCTTGGCTCTCGTCGCGCCGGGGGTCCTCGGTGAGCCTGGAGGGGAGCGCGGAGACCGGGGCTCCTCTGCCTCGTGAAGCAAAGCGGGATCCCAGGCGGGAATGGAGGCGTTGCCGGGCACCGGGAGGCCCCCGCCCGCTGTGGGGAACCCCGCGATCTCCTGGTTCTTGGGTCCTCCTTCCCGGACCTGGCAGCTAGTAGTGGAGGTTGCAGCCCAGAGAGGCGCCTGAACTTTGGGGCGCTGAGCAGAGCCCGCTGCGACTCAGCGCCGCTCTCCACCTCCCACTTCCTCCCACTCCCTCCAGCTCTGGCTGTGGCCACAGGTGCTTGGTCTTTGGTCCCAGCCCCTCCGGACAGGGTCCCAGCCCCAGCAACCTGCCCACCTGCTGGGGCAAGGCTCAGGAGCCACTGCCCTCCTGGTCTCACACTCCTCTGGATGCTGATGGGGTGTTGGGAAGGCTCTCTGGGGTTGCTTTCTGGAAGACTCACTTTGTAGCTGCTTGGAAATGTGGAGACAGAATGAGGTGCCTGTTTGTGATGGCCCCGGCCGGGCTGGGGTGGGGAGAGGGAGGGGGTCTCTCATACTGGCCACAGGGTGGCCAAATTGTGAAAAAGTCATAGTTTGTGGCCATGGGAGTCTCTGGGCGCAGATGTGGGTCTGACTTTGTAATAACCACTCCCCCCTTGCAATGACTTCCTTATCAAGAAGCCCCCTCAGACCTCAGGCGTGGGTGTCCTCCAATGCCCTGCCCCTCAGACTCCACCGGTGTCAGCCCCCCAGCTCCCTGCGTGTCAGATGACTCGGCAAAGCAGGGTGGGCGTTGCTGGGTGCTGTTGAATATCGGCAATAAGCAGTTGCATGGCTGCAGGGGCCAGTTTTGGGGGAGCCGGCATGGGAACATTGGCACCCCAGCACACCTGTTTAATCACAGCTCCCCGTCTACTTCCACTTTCTCCTGCCCCAAACAGCCCTGCTCCCCAAGCGCTGTCTTCACTGTCTCCCCTCTTGAACCCGCCTTGTCCCCTGTGCAATGCCCTGGATGCGGAGCTGCCTTCTCCCCACCCTCTCCTTCCTTCCACCCTCTCCCTCATGCAGTCAAAGCCCAGCCACTCTGTCATCCCAAGTGCAGGGAGCAGCGGACAGGACCATGGCAGAGCTGTGTTCTAGGCCACTTTTGTTGGGGCTCGGGAAGCAGGAGTGGGGGGACCTGCCCCTGCCCCGCCGCGAGGGGGATACCCGTTCCTGCCCCACAGCCCCTGCTGCAGTGGCCTGTCCAGCCTCCCCAGCCTAGGCTGCAGCTTTCCGGGGACGGGGGTGGGAGGGTTTGCACAAGGTAGGCTGTCTTGTGCTTCGCTCTGCTGCTCAGAAGCCCGGTAGGACCCCTGGCCCGGGGTCTCTGGCTCTGGCCCCTTTGTGACTGGGGGCCTGCCCACCAGCCTTTAAGGCAGCAGCCGGCCTCTTTTCATTGATGCCGGGGGCCCCTGGGTGGCTGGGCCATCACCGCCTGTGCAGCTTCCGACCTGACCATTCATCTGGGTCACCCATTCTGGCCACACCTGCCTCTGTGTCCCCCCCAGCACCTATCAGCGTGGCCCTCACAGGCTCCCAGCCGTCCTCACTGAGGTAGCTGCCCTGTCCCCTCCCTCTGGGTGGTGCGCGACGTGTCTGCCGTCTCCTCGTCCTGGTTTGCTGGTGGGTGTGGGTTGGGCCTGCCTGTGCGTGGGAGCTGACCTCTGGAGGCATGTGCTTGGCTGAGGCCTGGTTTTGGCTGAGGCGCTGTGTGCCCTTCAGAACACCCCCCATGTCCCGAGGCATCTGACAGCGACTCACTCTCGCTTTGTGACCTAATTTTCAGATCCTTTTCATTTTTCCTCTTCATTTGTAGAACGTTCACTTCAAAGAGATTTCTAAGCCACTCAGGCCCGAATAAAGCACCCCTACCTGTTCTCCACAAACGACTCTGCTGGTTGCTTTGGCCATGGTCTGGAGGTGCATGGCCGCTGCATCCCGCCCCTGTGCCCCAGCCTGGTATGGCACCGGCTTTAGGCTGGCACCGTGACCTTGAGCCCTCTGTGCCTCCTGGGTCTCGGCTAGCAGGCCTTTCCCATCTCGGGCCCTGTGATGGCACTGCCATCAAGTGCATGCTTGCGCCTGCCCTCAGGGACAAGACCTTCCCAGGTCTCTGTGCAGAAAGTGTCTGCGTTCTCTCGCCCCTCAAGGCCGTGTGCCAAAGCTCCCGTCTTCCTCTTATTTATTTATTTATCTATGCATATACAAGAGCTGGGGTGCAGGCCAGAATTGCGGAGGTGAGAGGATTCACCAGAGACAGAGTGGGGAGCAGAACAGGCAGATCAACTGAAACCCACTGCTGAGGGGAGCAGCGGGGAGACAGGAGACGTCTGCTGCACCATGTGGGTTTAGCACCCTGGCAGGGGATCCAACTCATGCAGCAGTGGCTGGCGATAGCTTGATAGTGCTGAGACTTACCCCTTGCACCCCCAGGGAGGTGCGCCAAAGGTCTTGCTGCTCGAGTCCTTGGTTCCATCCTAGTCCTTGCATCACTGCCCTTTGTACCTTGTGAACCCAGCAGGTTTCCCAGGCTTGTGCTTCCCTTGGGAGACCCCAGCTCAGCCACCTGGGTGGGGAGGGGGAGAGTTGGATGAGTGTGTCAGGGCCTGGAGCAGGTCTCAGCGAACTGTCCCCCCACCCCTGCAGTGGAAGGCCACGGTTTGTGCAGAATAGGCACTCAGGGGGCCTTCCTGGGGGGCATAGGGATCCTCATGAAGGTAACAGCACGTGTGCAGAGAAGTGTCATGACCCAGTGATGTCACAGTGAAGCAAGCCCATTAGGTTAGAGAGTCCTGGCTGTGCTCAGCACACAAGGTGGACTTGACCTTCCTGTGCTTTGCCAGAAGTTTCTATTTATAAGGCTTTCGTTTTCATTTCTGCAGTGGTAAGAAGGAATAACTCCAGGTTCTGTTTGGAATTTGATGCAAAGTGATTTTTGCTAGCTCTTCCTGAAGTCCGCCCTGCAGCCGCTGCTCCTGAGCTTGTTCTGTGTCCGCCCCCGCCTGGCAGGCCAAGCCCGCCCCCACCCCAGCTGGGTCCTGGAACCCAAGCTCCCGGGGGTTGAGCACTGCAGCGGGGAGGCTGGCCCTGGGTTTGACCTTCCTCTGGTCTTTGTCTCCAGGCCAGTGTAAGTTCCTGCCAAGGTACCCCTTTGCTAAACCCAAAGTTCAGAGTGATCAGTCTGAGTTTGCTGTTGGCACAGCCTGGATGTATGAATGCCTCCCTGGGTATAAGAGGAAGACATTCCAGACCTTCTGCCTAGAGACCTCCAAGTGGGCCGACGTCCGGCGGCATTGCCAACGTGAGTAGCGTGTAACGGGGGCCTCACCTGCCCCGGCACTATGCGCGCCGTGGACCAGTCACTTGCCAGATAGTCCAGTGCATCAGGGAGTCATGTCGGATGCAGGGGGCCCTTGACACACCATGTTCTCCTGTCCTCCTAAGCTCAGAGGGTGTTGGGGTCCGCTCAGCACAGTGCCCCAGCCTGTTACCCTCTCGGCCCTTGAGCTCGCTCCATGGTCTCTGGGCTGCACCAGAGTAACCTCAGGTGTGAACACGCGAGGAAAACTGACTCCCCCTCATCCCTCTCCCTCAGAAACTCTCTGGGGACCACCAGGGGTGAGGGGCCTGCCTGGAGGTGACTGCTGTCCCTCTCTTGGAGGAATCCCTGCACGGGTTGCAGAGACTGCCTCTCAGTAAATTCTGTTCTGTGATGAAGTGTGTTTATTTATAGAGATAAGTCCTGTGATATTACAGAGCTACTCAGGAGAGCCAGGGGAGGCTTGGGATTAGCAGCAGAGGAAATGGCACACGCAAGAGTGTCTGGTTAGGAAGGAACATGGTGTCTTTAGAAAATAGAAAAATTCAATCTGTTTGGAGGTGACACACTCGCTGAAGACGGGCCACTGGCTGGGTGGCATCGCCCGTGTGCCTGCTGAGTCTTCCTGCTAGTGAACAATGGCAAGTCGTCGCACTGTGGGGAGTGGCATGACGCCCCTGTGCTTCCAGCAGAAAGGAGCACAGGGCACGAGGACGTGCGCGCAGGGCTCGAGAATGTGCTCGCAGGGAACAAGGACATGCTTGCAAGGCACGAGGATTGCTCGCCGGCAGAGGCAGGGCTGGGAAGGTGCATTCTGTCACTTGTGATCAGGAGAGATGACAATGAGGGCAAAACAGTTGCTCCGGAGAGAAATTTCTGTCCTTCAGTCATTACAATTGGGTGACTTTTGAACTGAGTAACGACTGGGGTAGCAGGAGTTACAGAAATGATGTATGGGTTTCTTTTTAAGCCAGAACGTTTGGTAGATGATGCCACCAACTGACAGAACGTGAAAAAGGGAAATCAAGGTGATAAACCATGGCTGACCACAGACACAGACCATGTCTAAGCCAAACTGTGTTCTGGGGTTGACTGGGGAGATGCAAATTTTGTAAATGTCAAAAGCCCCTTTGAGTGAGCTCTGGTCAGCAAGTGTGGCCGGGGGAACATGATAAAAAACACAAAGCAGCCCAGGGCCCAGCTCCCGACTCTGTTTTGTTTCCCTTGTAGGTAAATCATGTGTGAACCCCAAAGAACTCCTCCATGGCTCTGTCCTCATGTACACAGGGGTCGAGTTTGGGTCAACAGTTACATATTCTTGTGATGCTGGGTGAGTGGACCATGGCATCTCTAGGCCCCGGGCCAGCAGTGGTTTCCCCTGGGTACCATCCATCTTCCAAGGAGATACGAGTGGTCACCACCTGCCCTTCAAAGCTGTAAGCCCAAGAGCATGTTCCTGCCCCACTACGGAGCAGCCTTTCGGGACGTGTCCTGGGGGAGACCCCAAAAGAGGGAGGAATTTGGGCCACCCCTGACCCAAGCCGACATCCCCAGTGTTGCTGGCCAGATGCACACATCAGTGTTTAGTCACCATTGTCAGGCACACATGACATCTTTTTGCCACTGTCTGGAGGAGGAGCTGAGCTCCCGTCAGTCAATGTCCAGATGGGAGACGGCCCTCACCTCTTCTCTAGGTATCGGCTCATTGGTGACCCAAACGCTACCTGTGTTGTTGTCTCAGGCAACATTGTAACCTGGGACACAGACCCGCCACTCTGTGAATGTGAGTAACGTGGCCCCTGTATCATGCCCAGTGCATCCCATTTAGGGATCGGGCCCCGCAGCCCTGGCGCCCCAGGAGGCCACGCGGGCTTGGGTGGCGGACACACAGAGCTCGGTCTGTTTATCGTCTCCCACCAACCTGCCACACCCCCGTGAGTACAGTTCCTGGGTCCCCCTAGACAGGAGCAGTGCCTGCTGCACGGGCGCCTGCTTCTAAGTCTGCCGAGGCTGACGCCGCAAGCTTTACCCCGTGGGAGATGCAGGCCTGGCGCTGCCATGACTGGCCATTGTCCGCATCCGGGTGATGGGGTTGGGTGCACGGTCAGGGCCTCTGAGCTCCATGGGCTGGTCCGGGACCTTCCCGGCCAGCTCAGTTCCCACCAAGCGTGTCTTCAAGAGGTAGAGACAGAATTTCAACAACATGGAGTCACTGTAGGTGGAGCCGAAGTTGGGTTCAGACGCATGAAGGCAAGATCCCCAGAACGTGTAACACTGAAATGTCTTCTCTCTCCCCACCTACCCCCCCCACCCCCGCAAAAGCTATACCTTGTGCGGCACCCCCAGCCATCTCCAATGGGGATTTCAGCAGTGGGAGTGCAGACAGCTTTTCCCATGGCACGGTGGTGAGGTACCGGTGCCATGTGGGGCGGAAGGGAGAAAAGCTGTTTGACCTCGTGGGGGAGGCATCAATCTATTGCACCAGCAAAGACAACAGGGTTGGCGAATGGAGCGGCCCCGCCCCTCGGTGTGTTCCTCGGGTCAAATGCCCCTTTCCAGAAGTTAAGAATGGGATCATGAAGTCTGGATTTAGACGTTCCTTCTCCTTAAACGATTCCGTGATGTTCACGTGCCAGCCTGGCTTCACCATGAAGGGCAGCGGCACTGCCTGGTGCCAAGCGGATAGCAGCTGGAGCCCCCCGCTGCCCACATGCTTCCAGGGTGAGTCAGTGGAGCAGGGCCAGAGGCACACAGGCTCAGGGGCCAGGGCACACATGGGTGCCCGTGGTGGGGGGCGCAGGAGGAGGGCATCTGCACAGCCAGGCATCCCAGCCAGAGAACTTGAAAGTGAGCTAGAGAGTGATGTCTAACAGTTGCCGGAAGAGGTAGATTTATCCTGCGACAGTGCCAGGTCAGCATTAAAGTAGGGAAATTAGACAACAGTGCCAAGAAAGTGTGTGCTCTCAAGCTAATGTGGTAGATTTCCCTCTAGACATACATGATGATCTTTTTATGGAAATGACAGTGAAACAAGCTCTCAGTCATGGTCATCCCTAAAAGGAAAATCAGCTGAGGCTGGAGTTTGACTGGAGCATGGTAGACACTGTGGCATCTCCTCAGATGAAAAATGGAGGCTCTATGAAGACAACTAAAATTAAGATTGCGTCTCATTGCCCCTTAGGAAGGGCCTGGCTTGGGGGCCAGGAAGAAAGTAGATCCCAGGGGGCAAGTGTCTTTCAGGGGTTGGTTGCCTTGGCTGTGATGTTAGGGAGATACTACTTGGCACAGTTTTGGAGGGTCCTATCTTTCCGGGACATCAGGTGGGAAAGTCGGGTGGCTGGTTCTCACGTTGGCCTCGGGCCTCCGCCCCGCGCCAGGGAGAACTGCCCCTTCCTCCCCCGCCCCCTATGCGCCCCCGGCTGTAGGAAGAGCTGCTTGTTTCAGAAGTCAAGGCCTCCGGTGTGGTGTCCCCGCAGGGTGCCTATCCCCGCCGCGTGTCCGGCATGGTCACTCTGACACGGCCGGCCATGAGCTCTTCCCACCGGGGCGGGAGGTCACCTACAGCTGTGAGCCAGGCTACGCCCTCCAGGGCGTGAACCCTGTGACCTGCACGTCCTCAGGGACCTGGAGCCACACGGGCCCCACTTGCGAAGGTGCCTGGCCGTCCCCTGGGGAAGTATGGCTGTTGCCTGGGGCTTCCTATGCCAGCCCCCGCTTTTCTCCTAGCGGAATCATGCGCTGACACCCCAGCCCGCCTCCCCCATGGCCGAGTGCTGGCTCCTCCTAGTCTCCAGCTGGGGGCTGAGGTCTCCTTTGTTTGTGACATGGGGTGAGTGTGAGTCGGGCCCTGAGCGGGACCTGGGGCGATCCTAAAGGGTCCAGTTTCTCCTCTTCCCATTCCAGCACCTTCTGTGACTAAGAACCCTGTGGCTAAGCAAATCCCATTGGCTTTCCCAGGGGCATTAATGTGGGGGCCCCAGTCTGGGAGGAGGTTCACTGAAAATGTGGCTCCTGTTAGGGAGAATGGGCAGGTGGTGGAGCTGTGTGACTGGGGCCCTCGGGGGCTCAGGGCACAAGGTCACTGGTCCTTCTGCACTAGGGATTGAGTTTTTTCCCTCCTAAACTGTGAAGAGAATGTTGATATTTGGATGGGGTAGAAGAGGAAAGGGTGGGTTTTCAAAAGAATGTGGCCATTAGGGTTTTCTGTTTCCACCGGACCCGAAGGTCCCCTCCCTGAGCTGCCTCCCAGAATCTCAGCGGCTCCCTCAAGCCACAGGTGCTGGACAGAGCGCCCCTCGTTGTGGGTGTGGGAGATGGCCTGTCCTGGTCACCATGTGCCCCTGTTGTCTAAGGTACCGGCTAATCGGCCACCCCACTAGCCAGTGCGTCGTGGCAGGCCCAGCGGTGCGCTGGAGCAATGGGCTTCCGGTCTGTGAACGTGAGTAGAAGTGAAAAGAATCAAGGACGGGATGGGTCTTGCTTCTTCGTTTTCAGTGTGTTCTCATGCTCTTCCCGGTTGTAGCTTCTTGTCTGTTCGTGTGTTTTTTAAACATGTGCAGCTCACCCTCCTCTGGACATTCTAGAGCGCAAGCCAAAGCTAAGTCTCTCTGATGGACGCCGTGTTGTGTCTTGTGTTATGTGTGTGAGGACAGGCTCTGACGCATGCTTAGTGAGTGGCTCTGAGGGGCCTGGGTGGGCTGGCTGTGGGCCCCCCGCCCCCGAGAGGTTCCTGAGGAAAAGCGGGGCAGAAGCGCTGGGGCTAGTGGTGCCCCCCAACTCAGACTCATCAGGGAGGGCTCACGCATCTGCCGATGATGAAGATCCTCACACCTGTCGAGAGGGGTAGATGAGGGACTGAGGTCTGTGCTTCTGTCAGGGCAGCTCCAGTAAGTGGTGAGCCCGGCACTCCAGCTCCGGCAGCCGGGCAGAGCGGCCTTGACTGTGGCTCCGTTGGGTGTATGCTGAATGGGCCTCGAGTCTCTTCCAGGCACTGGCTTTGCAAAGGCACTGGCCTCTCCTAGGTCACTGTCCAGGAAGCCGAGGCTTGGGTGGGCCAGTTGCCCGAGGCCGCATGGCTGCTGCTGTGAGTGGGGTCTGGAGCCAAGGCCGGGCCAGGAGCCTCCCCGGGCAACCAGCGTGTGGTCAGCCCGTCCTGCTCCCGCTCTCGGCCCTGGAATCTACCAGCTGCATCTCCATACCAGTGTCCCCTGAGCCCTCCCCCTTTACTCTTTGAAAGCCCTTTGTGTATTGGTGTCTCCTCATTGTAAGGTTTCGCTTTGTCAGCCACCTGCTGCCTATCTGTCCACACTCATCCTGTCAGCGCCATCTGCTTCCCCGAGTCCCTTGGGTGTGCGGAGGGTACGTCTCACCTTTCCCAAGGGGACGGTGCTCCAGGCTGGCTAGGCCCATTCTCCCATTGGTGACCACCTGCCTCGCCTGTCCAGCTACTGTAAACGACACTGTGTTTCTGGGGAACACACAGATGTCCACCTCGATGGGGTCACATCCTTGTGATGGGCTTCCAAGGGCAGGATGGCCAGGTCATGACGGCAGCTCCACTTTTAGTCTTTGAAGATAAACCCAGATCTCCCAAATGACGGCGCTGCCCTCACCTACGAGAGAAGAGTGAGGACGGGGTGGGAACCGGCCTCGCCGACATTGGTCACGGCACTGCTGGACGAGATTGCTGAGGGCCGGGGATGGTGGGGGACGCAGGGGCCTGGATGCTGGCACAGACATCAAGTCAGAGAAACCGGCTTAACCTCAGCATGAACTTCTCGATTGTTGCAATGCGTGACCTCATTTATCCTTTTCTCCTTTGCAGCAATTTCTTGTGACCCTCCCCCTCCTATCGAAAATGGCTGGAACAGCTACACGGAAGGGGTCATCAACCTGAAGGCTGTGATCAGGTATAGCTGCCCAGCGGCCTTCCGCCTCATCGGCGACAGTGTGCTTTTCTGCTCCACCTACGACCAGGTGACGGGGGTCTGGGACAAGCCCGCCCCCCGCTGCGAGTACTACAACCGGCAGGCCACTTGCAAGGAGCCGGTCGTGCCTGATGGCTCCAGGGACAGGTGGTCCCGGCCGCCCTATAGACATGGCAACTCCGTGAGCTTCACCTGCCACAAGACCTTCACCATGAGGGGGAACAGGACCGTGTGGTGTCAGGCAAACAGCACGTGGGGCCCAAACCCGCTGCCCATCTGCGAGAGAGGTGAGTGGCATGGCCGCTGTCCCTCCGGCTCTGGTCCCTGCGCCAGGTGGCTTGGGCGGGGTCATGGCTCCTGCCTGCTTCCCGTGGGGTTGCACGTCCAGCAGCAGCAGCATCTGGCTGTGGGGCACTGGCCGGGTCTGCGTGCTCACTGTGAAGGGGGCGGGGCTGTTGTTGACTCGAGGAGGCCTGGGGCCTGGTAGTGAGCCGCCCTGCCGTAGCCAGGGTGGCTGTCAGCGTGTTAGGCAGAAACAGGGCCCGTTCCCTCTTGAAACATTTTCCTAAGTGATCTGTTTCCCACGTCAGCTGCTACAAGCATTTCAGATCCCTGACTTGAGACCAGCTGGAAGCCCCCAGTCCTGCCTGCCTGGCGTGGCTTCTTTTCCCGGTGAAACCTCAGTCAGACATTTAGAGACTGACACTATTCTATGAAAGTCACACCATTGAGACTTACTTTCTTAAAGAACAATATGAATCAATTCTAATTCAATTAAGAAACTGTTAAGAGGCTAAGGTAGGAGAAGGACACGGCTCCTAGCCGTGCCGTCTCCGGCTGGGCTGGGGAGGCCTCGAGTAGCAAGAAGCCAGCGGGGGGGGGGGGGGTGGAGGAGCAGCGACCCAGTGAGCACGGTCCCCACGCCCCAGCGCTGATCGCGGCAGGATGACCCCTAAACAAGGGACTTAGGGTCGGGGGAGCATATGGGTAGACATGAACTTCTCTCTGTGATGCGGTTTCCTCAGCATAAACGTAGCTCCGGGACTATAACTAGAGAAGCAGGAGGTGCTCCTGGTGGCTAATGTGGCTGCGCTTGAGTGAGGGGAAGGCCCCGAGTGTCTGGTTTTCAGGGGGTGAGCAGTACCCACAGGGCAGGCCCTGCTGAGCAGGACACGCCTGACGCCTGTTCCCCATGTGTGTCGAGATGTCCCCCTGGAGTGCCCCCCGCTGCCTGCCATCCCCCACGGAAACCACACGGCGGGAAACTTGGGCACCTTCGCGCCGGGGCTGTCCGTGACCTACAACTGTGAGCCCGGCTTCCTGCTGAACGGGAAGAAGACCCTCCGCTGCCTGTCCTCGGGGCGTTGGAGCGCCGCCGCCCCCACTTGTCGCGGTAGGGACTGGGCGCCCGGGCCTGGGGCTGCTGCATGGGGGGGCGCCCTCTCACCCTCGCTCGCTCTCCTAGAGGCCCAGTGTCCGCCCCCAGGGCCGTTTCCCAATGGGCAGGTCCAGGGGCCCCGGAATCTCAGTGTGGGTGAGACCATGATGTTCCGCTGCAACCCAGGGTGAGTGGCTCCTGTAGCTCTGGCCCAGTGCCCTGGGTTGGGGGGTGGGGTCATGGGCCCAGGCTGGGGCTAGGAGCTGGGGGCTGGTGCCAGGGCCAGCCATGAGTGTGCTGACCACCTCTGTCCCCAGGTACTGGTTGCTGGGCCAGCCTTCCAGCCAATGTGTGATGGCCGGGCAGCAGGCCACATGGACCAGGATGCCAGTCTGTGAGGGTGGGTGAGGCCGCTTGGCCCTGGTCCTGCTAGGTGCTGACGTTGACGAGGGTGACTCCACCGCATCCCTGGAGAGGGTTTGGACCCCGGGCAGGATGGGGCCAGTCCCCAGTGGGACCATGGGACACAGGGTTTTCAGTCACTGACAGCCACTGACCCCTCAGGAGACTAGGGAGGGCCGTGAGCACCCAGCATCTGGGTAGGCTGGTGTTGGAGAAGGGGGTGGGCTGAAGCTCCAGGCCCCAGCATGTGTCTCCCTCGTGGTTTATCTGCTTGGAGCTGGGTAAGCTGGAGTAAGAGGCTCCTCTGGGTTCTGGGGGCCGAGTGATCTGAGGGGTGGGGGGAGCTCTGGGGGTGGAGCTGTGGGAGGAGCTGTGGGCAGAGCTCAGGGGGCACTTCCTCCCCTGGTACGCAGTGTGGGAAGCCATGGTGCCACTGGCCCCCAGAGCTGCAGGCACCACTCATGTGTGGGAAAGGTGGGCGCCGGCACCCCAGGGTGGTCAGGGCCTCCTCGTGCCCAGTGCAGCTGCCGTCCTGTGTCCTGTGTCCCCAGAGATTCTCTGCCCACCGCCACCCTCCATCCTCAACGGTCACCACACGGGCAGCCCTAGGGTACCCGCTCCGTTTGGAAGCAACATCACTTACACCTGCGACCCGGACCCCGAGGAAGGGGTGGCCTTCGAGCTGCAGGGTGAGCGCACGCTCCGGTGCACCTCGGACGGCCAGCGCACTGGGCTCTGGAGCGGCCCGGCGCCACAATGCGTGCTCTCCGGGCCCGCCCTCCAGTGCACCGCCCCCCGGGTGAGGAGGGGCCGGGTGCTATCAGGGTCGCAGGAGCACTACTCCTACAATGACACTGTGCGCTTTGCCTGCGAGGACGGTTTCACCCTGAGGGGCAGCCCGGGGGCCCGCTGCACGGCCCGTGGCACCTGGGAGCCGGCCGCCCCTGTCTGCGAGAAAGGTGCGTGTCCTGGCTCTAGAGCAGCTGGAGGGGGGGGCAGGCTGCCCCACGCATTGCCCACAGGGTACACACCAGAGAGAAGCCGCCCGTTTGCTGTCCAGGGGGCCTGTGGGGACACATGCGAGGGGGCACTGGGTTGCCCTTTTCTTCAGGGAAAAACCTGGGCAAAAAGCTTGTTTGTCTTAATAGTGATTTGTCAGAAGGCTGTCAGCAGAGCCCTGCTCAGGGTCTATCAGCACCCCATTTAGATGCCGCCAGAGGGCCAAGGGGAAGGGCCAGAGGGCCAAGGGGAAGGGCCAGAGGGCCAAAGGGAGGAGTCAGAGGGCCAAGTAGGACCTGGCAAAATGTGTAGCCGCTTTGGAGCAGACAGGATGTGGGTGAAGGCTGCCAGCCCCATGTGCAGAGGCCCAGCTGCGCCCGTTTGCTGCCTCTATGGATACGCCACTCAGGACCCCATGTCCTCCCCAGAGTGCCAGTCCCCCCCTGAGGTCCCCCACGGGCACTGGGTGGATGGCGGTAGGCTGCACTTCCCACCCGGGACATCCGTGACCTACAGCTGCACGCCCGGCCACGTGCTGGAGGGCGAGGGCACCGTCTACTGCAGCCCCCATGGCGAGTGGATGCCCGCTGCCCCCCGGTGCAGAGGTGCGGCTTTGCGACGAGGGGGGCGGGGTGTGGGGCTCGTGGCCTGGGCCAAGTCTCAAGCCGGCTAATCACGCAGTGGCGGAGTGCGAGCCCGAGGGAGAGCAGCTCTTTGAGAGGCCCCGAGGCCAGTTCGTCAGGCCGGAAGTGAACTCCTCCTGCGAAGACGGGTGAGTGAGGCGGTCTGGGCCAAGTGACCAGTGGGCTCCGCCTCGAATGCCCCAGGGCGGCTGGGCCCCGCAGACATCCTTGCGTGGAGTCCTGGCCTCCCTTGCCCTGCACGGGGCGGCGCCCTGCGGCTACATCTCTTCTTGGCCCTTCTTGACCCCCAAGACCTGTCTGCTCTGGGCCAGGCCGGCCCCCCAGCAGCACCAGCTGTGCCTGACCAGCTCTCCTCTCCAGGTACCGGCTTGGAGGCAGCGTGTTCCAGCTGTGCCGAGGCCCAGCCCCGTGGTTTGTGGAGACACGGCTGTGCGAGGGTGAGCAAGCAGGGTCACGACAGAGGTCATGTGGGCTGGGCTGTGCCGGGTCTGGCCCTCCCAGCACCACCAGCTCCAGCTCCAGGGCAGCTGCTGGGCCAGGATCCTCAGAGCCACCGTCTCGCGATGTGGATGAGATTTTCTCCTGTGGTCAGTCAGGATGGTGAGGCCTGGGGCTGAGGCCCCCCTTGATTTGGGCACTGGTGTCTGACCAGGCCTGGCCTGCTGCCCTCTGGACCACAGCGAGTTCTGTGACTGCCCAGAAGTGCTAGCCTCCTGCATAACCCTAGCCTGAGACCAGAGACAGGCTCAGCTCAAGAGGGCCTGCCTCCACCTGCGTGGGGAGGAAATCGCTTCTGCCTGCTGTCCCCTCCCTGAGCACGGCACAGGGGTCAGGGCCATTCAGCTCAGCCCTGCCTTTCACTACCCCATCAGTAACTCAGAAAAGAATTTTCTTAATTAGTATTTTACTGCTGGGCTTTCCTGCCTCACACTGTGCTAACCTACCTGTTCACTTTAAACCAAGATTACCTGCAAAAGCCTCCCACCCCGCCCCCCACCGGCCCGTTTGAGTTTCACGCACACTTCGCACACGTGCTGAGCCTGGTGCCAGTCTCACCTCCCAACCTCACTTCCCCCAGGACCTGGGGCCACAGCCCATCTCCTGCTTGAATTCTCACCCCAGTGTGCAGTCCCCCTGGGGGACTCAACTCAAGTCTCACTTCTTGTTTCCCAGAAATCACCTGCCCGCCGCCCCCCACCATTGCCAACGGGTCACACACGGGGAGCGCCTCGGAGGAGGCCCCATATGGAGCCACCGTCACCTACACGTGCAGCTCTGGGCCAGAACCGGGTGTGGGCTTCAAGCTGGTCGGGCAGCCTGTCCTGCATTGCACCAGCCTGGACCAGCGCCACGGTGTCTGGAGTGGCCCCGCCCCCGCCTGCCTGCTTGTCCTCCCGGCTGCACAGTGCCCCCCAGTGCACGTGCTCCACGGGCGCCAGATGTCAGACCGCGAAGCCCCGTACTCCTACAACTACAGTGTGGAGGTCCAGTGCGAGCCAGGGTTCACTCTGAAGGGCAGCAGGCGGATTCGCTGCAAAGCTGATGGCTCCTGGGACCCGGAAATACCCACCTGCGAGAAAGGTACAGCTACTGGGGCAATGAGGTGTTGGCGTCCTTGTTCCGTGTGTCACCCCACCCAAAACTGGGGTCACGGGGTGCCCTCTGCTCTGTGGTCGGGCGGCTCTTGGGTCGAGGCCCTGGCCTGCTCCAATGTGCACGAGTAGGCCGTGCGCGAGCAGTAGTAGTCAGGCAGTGCTGGACTCGGGCTCAGCTCTGGATGGAGGCTGCCGTGATGCACTGTGTGGTGCGTGGGGCGCTCAGGGCTGGGGCTCATGTGGGAGTGTCTCCTCAGGCTGCGGGCCGCCGGCCAGGCCCCTCCACGGCAGGCACACGGGCTCCAGCCAGGCACTCTTTGTCCCTGGGACCAGCGTAGACTACAGCTGCGACCCCGGGTTCTTGCTTGTGGGCAGCAAGTCCAGCCGCTGTGCGCCGTCAGGGACCTGGAGCCCTTCCGCCCCTCGGTGTGAAGGTACTTACGCTTCAGCCACCTCCGGTCCCTGGCTGGCGGCCAGGAATGACCCAGTTCTGCTCTTCCAGAAACTCTGTGTCAGCCTGTGGGAGAGGAGCTGCAGGACCCACCCGCCAGGTCTCCTGTGGTTGCAGCCAACACCTCCTGCCCAGAGGGGTGAGTGGACGGACCCTCCGCCAGCTGCCCGCCAGCGCCCCCACCTGGGCCTCCCTGGGGCTCTGCGGGGATCACGCAGCCCTGGTCCGGATGCCTCTGGTGCCAGCGTGGCTCTGCCGGGAGCATCCGAGGCCTGAGCAGCTCCCTCTGTGAGGCCCTGTCTTGGCTGTTGCCACAGCCTGGTTCACAGGTGCCCTTGTTTGTGGTCGGAGGACACGGGGCCGCAGGCGAGGGGCCTGGGCCAGGAACGCGCAAGCTCTCCCTGCAGGTACCAGCTGGTGGGGCACACTTACTGGCAGTGTCAGGACACTGGGAGTGGGGTTTGGTTCCAGCGTCGCACTCGTTGTGAAGGTAAATTAAAGGCTAAACTGATGGTGGGGTGGCCGGTGACGGTGGGAGGGCCAACCTCTGGGGGCCTGAGAGACGAGCTAGCCCCACTGCCAGAGTGCCTCCTTGGGAAGCAGCTCCCGGGGCTGACCTCACGTCTGCTGGGCACTCGGGGCTTTTCTGAGGGGCAAAGAGCCGGTGCTGCTAGCTGGGGGCCGGGCTGCCTCTGGGCGGCTCTGAACCTCGCTGCTCTCCGCTGGGGTGTGGTGTGCCACCCGCTGTCAGCTGCAGCCTCATGTGGGCTCAGGAACCCGCATGGTGTCGTGTGGCCGAGCAGACCCGGAGCCTCCGCCTCAGTGGGCCTCCCACTCTCTGCAGCAGTCCGCTGTCTGCCTCCTCCAGTGATCAGCCACGGGCGGCACACGGGGTCGCCGGGCAAGCCCTTCCTGTACGGCCACGAGGTCTCCTACAAGTGCGACCAGGGCTTCTCGCTCGTGGGCGTGCAGGCCATCCGGTGCACGCGCGACGCCATGGGTCGGGGGTCCTGGAGCGCGCCCCCTCCGCGGTGCGAGCTGCTGCCGCCCCCGACACCCCCCACGCACTGCCCAGCCCCTGAGGTGAGGCACGGCCGAGTGCTGAGCGGGGCGGAGCCTCCACACGCACTTGATGCTGAGGTGCTAGTCGCCTGCGACCCCGGCTTCGTGATGAATGGAAGCCGCGAGATCAGGTGCCGCAGCGATGGCGCGGGGACGCCGGTGTGGGTTCCGGGGGTGCCCACGTGCATCAGAAAAGGTAAGACGTGGGCCCCTGGCGGGCGGTGGGCGGTGGGCAGGGGGCCCAGGGAGGAGATGCAGGACCCGTCTCCTCTCCCTCATCGGCGCAGGCGCGGGCAGGCCGCCGCCACAGAGGGGGCCGGGGGTTGGCCTTATTAGTCGTATTGATATAGAACAGAAACATGCGCGTGTTCTTCGTGGGGCGAATGTCTGCCTGCAGCGTCGCTGAACGGCTGGGACTTGTGGCACAGCACCCGCCGGGACAGCTGCCTCGGAGGGGAGCTGGGGCCTCGGGCCTCCCGGCAGTCAGAGCTCAGCCCCGCAGCCTCTGCCCCCAGGCAGCACGGCTCCTGCCCGGGCCAGCATGCCACCTGGCACCAGGACGCTCTTCCGAGATGGCGTCCCTCGTGCATTTTGTGGGCGCCTGGGGCTTGGGTGTATTTGGGCGGGAGAGGAAGCAGGAGTGAGCGCTGAGTCTGGGTCCCAGCCAGGCCACTGCGCTGCTGATCCTTGGCCAGTCTCGTGGAGTTTCACGCCCTCCCCTTGGTGTCCAAGCTTTCTCAGGATGTCACCGGCCGGCAGCCATCCCCAATGGCAACCACACGGGCGGAGCCTCGGCTCGCTTTTCCCCAGGGATGTCGGTGCTGTACAGCTGTGAGCAGGGCTACCTGCTGGTAGGGGCCCCGCTGCTGCTCTGCACTCACGAGGGGGCCTGGAGCCAGCCCCCACCCTCCTGCAAAGGTCTGTCGGCCCCCTCTCCTCACCATGTCTCAGGACTGCTTTCAATTTAAAATGCCTAAAAAATACGTTCATGGCATCCATTTAGTTGGATTTAATGGGTCCATTAATGAATCTAACCACCACAAAGTACAAGAGGTGGGTGGGGCTGGTCTGGGGTGAGTTGTTACAAAGTGTCCTCACACCTTTCATCTTTACAAGAGGATGGCCACTTGTGCTCCCACAGGAGCCGGGGTCAGCCTTCCAGCTGCAGACACAGCGGTCTCTGTATTCTAGAAGAGGCTCAGCAGGTGGGCTTTGCGCCCCTAGGAGTCAGAGCTCACTAGCAGGCATCAGCTTGGGCCCCACTTCAGGGCCCCGGCGCTGAGAGCTGATATTCCAGAGTGGGGTGGGGGTGTCTCCTGCAGGGACCCAGGTTCCACTCGCTGAGCCGTTCCATGCTTCTGGGAAGTCATCACCCAGGCTGGTGCTGTCAGTGTCAGGGGTGTCAATATGCGGGGAGGGTGGCCAGCAGAACCCTGGCGTTCGGGGTGGCTGGTGGAGGGGCAAGAACGCAGTGGGTGCCAGTTCCTGGGGGCTGCAGAGGTGACCTCGGCCAGGGGCCACGGAGGTGCCCGCTCAGCGAGATGCTCCCCTTCAGAGGTGAACTGCAGCTTCCCCGCGCACATGCTGGGCGCCCGGCAGGGCATGCAGCCGGGGAGCGTTTTCCAGTATGGCGCCATCGTCACAGTGGCCTGCGAGGACGGCTACACGCTGGAGGGCAGCTCCCAGAGCCAGTGCCAGGATGACCACCGCTGGGACCCCCCACTGGCCAAATGCCGGTCCCAAGGTGGGTTTGGGAGCAGAGCCCCTCACAGCGAGGAGGGGTGGGGGGGCTCCTGGCTCTGAGCAGGTGTGGGGTGACGGCCGTGCCCCCAGTGGGGCCAGGGCAGGTGGCTGCTGTAGGAAGCATGAGCCTCCAAGAATGGGGACGTGAGGAAAGTCAGAGTGGCAGCTGCTGACCTGGCAGTATCTCCAGGAGATAGACCCGCCAGCCACTCAGTCCACGGCTTGTCCTGGCCTGAGAAATCCCAGCTGTAAACTGACTATGCTGATTTTTCCCATCAAGGGGTTACTCCAGCTAATGAAAGTGAAAATTGTTAGAAGTCCTTAGAATTGTCACATAAGCAATAAAGGAAGAGGGAGCCACAGCCAACATACCTGTAGAGTGCAGTGGGAGGGGCTGGGTGTTAACTTCTAAAATGTTCTGTGGCGCCCACCGAATCGCACGGTTCCACTGATATTTGTGGTTTTGCCTCCTCAGGTTCCCTCGCTCCTCTTCTCAGTGGTAAGTTTTCTTAAATACTGAAAAAAAAGTTCTTAGGACATCGTGCATAGACTCTGAAGCCCTCTGACCTGCTAAGTGCTAATTTTTGTTACTTTAACTCAAACTTCTCAAGTCCATGTCACATCACAAACCGTCTTTTTGGGGTAGAGTTGAGTGAATGATTTAAACAACCAGCTCTCCCCACTGCCCAGGGGACAGCTCAGCTTACATTCCTCCTGGTCTCTTGCATAATTTGTTGTTATCAAAATGGGTTGGCTGAGTCGGCCTTAGCAAGAGGCCTGTCACAACTGAAAGTCAGATGTGCTTGTGCTTGTGAAAGTCACAAGAATGCCAGTAATGGAACAGAGAACAGAAAACTTGGCAGATTTGATTCAGATTCCTTGTGAAAGGGGGTATGGAAGCCCCACCAGGGCGTGTGGCTGGGCCCACGTTCCTGTGCGAGAAGGGACAGGGTCCCGGCTGTCCCTACCTTGGGCCACTGGCCCATCACAGCTCCCTAACCAGAGTCTCCTCTGCTGTCCCCTCATGCTCCGCTTCACTTTCTAGGTCTTTCTGCCGGCTTCATCCTTGTGATTTGCTTGACCAGCATCATCCTGTGCAGGATGCTAAAGCACCGGGAGCGGTAAGTGCCCGGCACCACAGGGGTGGCTGCACATGGGTGGACACGGACGCTGTTCAGGGCACGAGGAAGGCCGGGACTGTGCAGAGGCTGGAGCTGCCCCAGCCACCTCCAGCTCCTGGTTATGGGTCTTCAGAGGACACCTTATAATAATCGAGAAAAGTCCAAACCAAGATGTCTATCTTGGTCTGTTCCTGTCTGGTCTGTTTAGCATTATATTCTCCTACCTTAGTCTCTCCTGTTTCCTTTTAAATCATGTTTTCTTTTCAGTTAATGACATTTTGTTCTATTTTATGTATTTCTGCCTCGTGGTGCTGTCAAGAGGCTTCCACATTTATTGTGATGGTAAAAAATGGTGCAAGTAACACCAAATGTCCCCTTGTCCAGCGACTGATTTCCTGAGCATAAATCCCAGAGTCACAAGGGATAAGTGCATAAATATTATGACATTTACAGCACCAAGTGACTTTCTAGCAAGGTAGTTCTAGCTGATCACCTGTCATACAGCGGCCAGGGCTGGATATGCCGTGCTCCTGGGCCTTTTTCTGCCTTATCTCTCTGTCCTTCCATCCCAGGAAGTGCTCAAGCAACACAGTGTCTGCTGCTGGACTGTGAGGGGGTGGGCAGGAACCCTCGGCTCTCATTCTTGGGGACTGGCCTCTCTAGCCTCTTGTGCTGTTCCTGTTGGCGTCTGCTAGGTCGCCACTGTTCAATGCAAAAGTGCAGCGATTGCACTCAGGCCAGGGCTGGTGGTGACTCTGCATCTTCTGTGCGGTTCCCCTTCAGAACCCACTAGGCCTTTCTGGGTCCACATGCCCTCTCCTCCCTCCTCTGCTGTTTCCACGGCAGCTTAAATGTGTCGTGAGGCTTCTGTGTTTTGCCTCATTACACTTTGTTATCTGGAATTAGATTGGCATTTCCATTTTATTTTTACTTTATTAACTTTTTTTTTTTTTACCATTTGAATCCATGAGAGAATCTCACCATAATGATCTGGGACACTTGGTGAGGACCCAAAGCACTTTTGGGGCTTTTGATCAGGAAAAGCCCCCATGCAGGAGCAGATCCTGGGGTCTGGGAGCATGTAACAAAGAGGAGGGATCAAGGTGGAAGGAGCGGTTTGAGTGGAGGCCCCTGGGCTGGTCACCCGCTGGTTGGTGTGAGGACACGGGGGCGGAAGCAGTGTGGGTGGTGACATTGAGGGGAAGGTGGCCCAGGCCAGCGGGGGGAGGTGCCTGCGGCAGCCACAGCAGTCTCAACGCAGAAGGCTGTGTCCTGGTGTCTCTGGGGGCAGCAGATGCCGTTGGGAGGGGCTGCGGCTGAAGGTGGGGAGTGATGCAAGGAAAATAAGGCCTCAAGAAATAAAAATAGGGATGTCGCTGGGAAGTCAGGAGATAATTCGGCTAAGAGGAACGGGGCATTTAAATAAATAGAACCCGGGGGCCTATCTGTTTCCTCCAGCTGCTGAGTTTGCTGCCAGGGCTTTGCACGAGTTGGAAATGGGCAGGCTCGGGGGTATTGCACGGACCCCAAGCTCTCGGGGGTACTGCACAGACCCCAAGCTCTGACCTTGCTGTCCCGCCCAACCGCTCGCCCCATTGTGCAGCGCTGTGCTGGGGGTGGGGAGTAGGGGGCAGAGCATGCACCCCATTCCCGTTCCTGTCCTTGTTTCTGTCCATGGCCTAACAGGTTCCAGGGTCTCCTATCACTTGCTCAGGATGCTTAAGGTACCTCAGGCCTGCTCTTGGTCTACCAGTACTGACTCATCTTAAAAAGAGTGTCTAGCGACATGGTTACATTTTTCAAAAGCTGTTCAGGGATTGGGAGGAGAAGCTCTGCTGTTCTAGTCATCTAAGCTCTGCTACACCTGATGCTGTGGGTGACAGTGGCCGCAGTCAGGATGGTCCTGCCCCGCGAACTGGCCTCCGCCTGACTCCTCACCCTGGGGCCCGCTGCAGGGTCATCACCTCTTCCTGCTCTGCCCTTACTTTGGTCAAGTGGCTCTGGGAAGCGCAGTTATGTCCACGTGAAGCGCAGTTATGTCCATGTGCTTTCAAAGAACAGTAAAAACGTCCTCTCAGGCTGTTTCAAGTTTTTATTGCTGGGTGACTACGTCAGCATTTTGAGTTAAACATCGAATAGAAAAAAGTTCCCTTTATGTTAGATTAGAAGATTGTGTCCCAAGTGGTAACATACGAGTGTGTCATAAACGCTTCTTCCCAGTGGTGTTGTTCCCCTGGGAGTCATAGTTGCTAGTCGCTGACACGCCACAGCTGAGGTAAAGCTGCTTAACTCGCAGCCATTCCAGGGGTTTGTTTTTATGGGCCTTTCCCCAAAACCTTGGCTTAGCAGCGACGTCTGAGGTGGGAAAGGCAGTCCTCCTGGGAGCACCACCGTCATTGGAGTGTGAGGCTGCGGGCTTATGCCCCGTCAGCCAGCGTGAAACCTGCTTTCTCTCCCTCCCCCACGCAGGAACTACTACACCAACACAGGCCCCAAGGAAGGGGAGCTCAGCCTGGAGCCGTGCGGCCTGCACTATGTGGACCCCTACAATCCTGCCAGCTGACGGGACAGTGCCGGAGCCCGCCCAGCCACTGCAGCACCATGTCTGCCTAGCAGAAGCTCATACTAACCACAGGTCCTTGGCACACGTTTGGTAAACCTGTGTGGATGTGGTTAGCTTGCCTACTTCCTGTGCCAAGAAATGTTCTGGTTTGCAAGTCTTGTATCCATTCAAGAAATACATAAACGGCAAAGTCATTAAGAATAAAATAAATGAGAAGATGAAATATTGTGAAGAGAAAAAAAGCAGAAGGGGGTGTCAGGTTGCTGGGGGGGTAGTTCTCCCTGAGGGGGTGGTCTCCCCAGGAAGTCTGGAGCTGGCCAAGTGAGAAGCACTCAGGAAGAATGAGGGACCCCGCGCCCCCCATGAGGGCAGCTGACCAGGGAGGGCCTGGCCAGGGAGAGCGGCAGCGAGAAGCAGCGGTGGGGGTGACTGGGGAGTGCGCCATGGGCCATGGGCTCCTTCTAAGCAGGCCCTGGCCAGTGTGGGAGGGGCAGCTGGACCAGTGTTAGCAAGGAGGGCTGGAGGCTGTGGTGGTGGAGGTCGGGTAGGGTAGGGGTGGGGCAGGGGAACAGGCCAGGAGTGGGGGTCCAGCCCATAACCAGGAGGAGGGTACATGGCCAGCTGCTGGGGAGTGGTGGCTGCTGCCCCATGGGGTTGGGGCTCCGGCAGTTGGGCCATGATGCGGGTGTCTGTAGTCTGAGCAGCATGAGACAGAACCGCACCTGCTAGGGTGGCCGAGCACAGAGAGCCCACCTAGCTGGGGGTGACATGCTCTCTGCCCACATGCCTGGGGAGCAGTTGAGGTGATGTCTGCTTGGCCGGGAGAAGCCTAGGGGGATTGGAGGGTCCTGTGGGCATGGACCCACCTCTAATAGGACCAGGAGTCAGCAGGGGCCTCAGGCAGAAGAGAAGAGTCTAGCCTAGGGGGTCCGACTTGGGGCATGCAGGAAGCAGCAGCAGCCCCGGAGCACAAGATGAGGCCATGGCAGGGCCTGAGTCCCCACAGGAGGGAGGGATGCTGGGTGCTGCTCACAGCCCACAGCCGGGATATCTAGGGGCCCCCGAAGCCAGGGCAGGGCCAGGCCAGAGAGACTGGCCTCCCATTGGGCAGGTTTGGCTGGGAGGCTACTGCCAGGGAGGGAGCAGGGCCTGGGATCTGGGGAGCGGGGAGGCCTGGAGACCCCGGGGGAGTATCTCAGAGTGTCTCAGAGCATCAGAACCCGCCAGCTGGGGGGAGACTGGACACTTAGGAGGAAGGAGAGGCCGGGCAAGGGGAGCCTGAGGAAGAAATGCTGAAGCCACAGGAAGGGGTGGAGGTTCCAGGGAGCCCTGGGGACAGCAGCCGGGCCCAGGCTGTCGAGGGACCCCATCTAGGTTTCTCTCCACCCCCATCATCCACACTGGGGAGAGCTTATAATACCCACCAAGGACCTTCCCAGGGGTGCAGGGGTTAAGTCTCAGCACTATGAAGCTATCTGCAGCCTCTACAGCATGAGTTCAATCCCTGGCCAGGGAGGTGACCCACTTGGCGCAGCAGACCTCTCTTATCTCCCTGCTGCTCCCCTCAGCAGTGGATTTCAGTCGATCTGCCTGTTCTGCTTCCCACTCTGTCTCTGGTGAGTCCTCTCACCCCCGTATCTCTGGCTTGCACCCCAGCTCTTGTGTGCATAAATAAATCTTAAAAGAAAAATACCCACCAAGGGAACCAAGACTGGAAGGTTCTCTGTGCCAAGCTCTGTCTTCAGCAAAGGTAGAATTCAAGCCCAAGACTGCCTTCCGGAAGCCTGATGCTGGAAAGCACCCACGTGTCCCTGCTTAGCGGGGTGTGGTGGAGCACCCTTGCCCCAGGAGGACCTCCAGCGGGCACCCTCTGTCTCTGCCTTGGATCCAGCACCTGGGGGCAGGCAGAGGCCCAGACACTCCCAGCACCAGGCTGCCCCCTCGTCCGGCCGCCTGAGCAGGACCAGAGAGCCGCGCCTTGGGCTGCCGCTAGTCAGAAGGAACCTTCCCAGCCTGGAGCCTGCGCAAGCCGTGGCAGCCACACTGCGCTAAGCTGAGGCAACTCGCGGGGGCGCAGAGGAGGGAGCCTGGGTCCGGCCCCTCGAAACCTCGGTGGTGCCCTGCAAAGCCAGCTGCGCCCACAAACTCTCTGGAGGCCCCACAAAGGCCCCTGCCCCCGAGTCCACGGGCTCGCCCTCCCCAGGCCACATGGCCCTTTGCAGAGCCCGGTTTTGTTGTTTTTTTTTAAAGATTTATTTTATCTACACAAGAGCTGGGGTACAGGCTAGAGGCACGGGAGGGTGAGAGGATTCACCAGAGACAGAGCAGGGAACAGAACAGGCAGATAGACTGAAGACACAGCAGGGAGACAGGAGAGGTCTGCCGCGCCATGTGGGTATCTTCCTGACCTACAGGAAATCGAACCCAAGCTGCAGAGGCTGCGGACAGCTTGACAGCGCTACGCTCAACCTGCTGCGCCACCAGGGAAGTCCCCTGTTTTATCTGAAAAGCACCCTTCTCTGCCACGCACCCACACTTCATTTCAGTTCCACTTGGTTTGAGTTTTTCTCATCACAAAGTTTGCCCCCCACCATCATTGCATAACTCTAGCACACACAGATCTTTTAAAATGCAGAAATTGCGTTTTACTCTAAATCTTGGTGGACAGCTCCAACCTGTGGCTGTGGCATGTCCGAGGCCTCGGCTGCAAGGGGTGTGGACTAGAGCATGCGGCTGCACTGACCCCGCCTTCCCGAGGGTGTGAGCCTCTGCTGCTTTCTGGGGTTGCAAACGGGGGCCACAGGCGCGGGGGAGGGGGCAGCTCTCGGTTCTGATTTAACACAGTGCATCTGGAGCCGGGTTTTCTTCCGCAGCCCAAACTCCCGTTCCTCACCCTCAGATTTGCGCACCCTCTCCCGACACCCCCTCCAAACAGCTGTCCCTTCCTCTGTCCCACAACTCACCCACTGCCCCTTCCCCACCCCTGCCCAGCCGTGAACTGCATCTCCTGCGTTTTTCACCCATTTTCATGATGGCGCCGGCACGTCATCACAGCTCAGGCCTGCATCACAGAGCCCAACGTGCATCTGCTTTTAAACTGGTTAAAAAGCATGACACACTTCGCATATCCACTTTCTGAAGTGTATAGTCAGAGGTACTAAGTTTTCTCCACTGATGGGCAACATTCCAGAACTTTCCAACTTAAAAACTGGAAGCACCAGGCCTCTTTGGCGAGGCCCTGCCCCCTCTCTGCAGCGCTGCACACCCATGTCTGTGATGGGTCCTCTGGAGCTACAGGATGAACAGCAGTCTGTCCGTCCATCTGTGACTGGCCAGTCACACAAGGCCCAGCCCTGCCGCAGCATGTCCAGGCTGACAGTGAACGGTGTAGGGCTTCCACCTGGGGGCTGTGAGCTAGCACCCCCTCAGCCCCCACCTTGCCTCTCTGGTCACATGCCCCACGGGGACGTGGCCCACCTGCCTGTGGTAAGCAGGCAACATCCAAACGGCTCGGTCCCAGCCTCATGTCTACTCTCCCTCTTCCTGCCCCCTACACCCTCATGCCCCCAGCCTGGGTCCAGCAGCTCTTCATAGACATTTCTCCCAGGAGAGGGGGGACCAGTTCCCCCTCTTGCCCCTGCTGCTTCTCGGCCCCTACTAATCGGCGCAGGCCGGCATCCTCTCAGTGCCAGGGAGCAGGTCCTCACCTGCCAGGCCAGAGGGCCTGCATCCACTCTGGGGCCGCGAGGCCAGGGTCTTGTACCTCGGCACCGGACGCCAGTGTCTCAGGCCGGCCTAGCCCTCAGTTCTGCTCACTGACTCCGGAGTTGTGTCCTTGGTGCCAACATCCAGCGCAGTCGCCAGCCAGGGGCAGCCCGGGGTCCAGGCCCCTCACCATGGACTTGTCTTCATGGGGCCCTGGGCTGGGTGGGACAGGAGAGGACATGGCTGCAGCTGCTGCCCATTGGGGCAGCTGGGGCGGGGCTGAGGGTAGTCATCTTCGGGGACTCCCAGTTCGGGTGATCGTCCTCCCCGGACATCCAGTGGTGATAACCGGAGGGATAGTGTTGGCCCCTGGGGGTGGGGGCCCAGGAGGCTACTATATGACCAATAGCCCCCAAGACCCTGCTGCCCCTAACGCACATGGCAGAGAATTCCAGTGACCAGCTCAACAGCATGGCGGGTGAGATGGGCACCCCTGAACCCCTGAACTGTGGACAGGGGCTTCCCATGGGAAAAATCAGGGGCTCAATTCCAGAAGAAGGGGGTTAGTTACATCAACATCGCCCACCGTATTCTGCATCCAAAAAAAGGCCCCCACATTCATGCTTTCTTTAAACAGCCTCCATTCTCTCTCACACCACACTTTCTGCCGAGGCAGCCAAGCTCGGAGGCCTCGTCCAAGTGCCCGCTTGCTGCGCAGGCAGCAGAGGCTGGTTCCCTCGGGTTCGCCCCAGGTGGACAGGGGCAGGCTGCAGGCAGTGAAGCAAGGCGGCGAGCAGAGAGAGGAAGGAAGCTTGAATGGGCCAGTGCCGGGGACCAGCCTCCGGCAAAATGTCGTGTCAGGGTTCCTGAAAGGATGAGACGGCCTCGGCGAATACGAATGATCTGAAACTTAGGGACTGAGGGGAAGGGGATGAGGTAGAATGAGGAGACACTGACACTTGGTGAGGTGCACAGGCCACGAGGCCGGTGAGCGGGGCGCAACTGGGCAGAGGGCCCCAGGAGGCATGGGGCTGCCGGACAGACAGGCGTGGTGTGGGCACAACTAGGGGAGGAGGTGCACTGCTGCCTCCGCAGAGTCTGCGAGCTTTTGGATGAGGCCACGGGAGGGGCTGACGGTAGCAGAGAGAGAACTGCTGGGGTGGGGGACGTCCCTGAGCTCAATGTCCCCGGTGCAGACAGGCTCCATCCCGGGATTCAGCTGATGACAGGGGTGGCCAGTGGGCCTTGAGCAGATGAAGAACAGCGGCCAGAACAAGGTGTCAGGAGAAGTGACCAGACAAAGCATGGGTACTCCTTCGGTACTTCCATTTTCTCTGGGAAAAAAGAGCGAAGTTGCAGGCAGTGGGAGCATGATATGGGGTGGGGGCAGCGCTCTGGTCACAACACCAGCTTCTAGATAGTCACCCAGCGCAGGAGGCCAGTCAGCCGGGCAGCACAGAAGGCACATAGCACAAGCTGGCCAGCAGACCCAAGGGGGCCAGACCCTCGGCACCCCTCCCTGCCACTGGTCATCAGCAGTGACTCCTGGGATACCAGGCCCTGCTACTCACGGGTATGGAGAAGAGGGTGCAATGAGTGGTAGCGCTGCTATTTGGGGGATACCCTCACAGAAGCGAATGGGAGTTAAGGCTTGCTTTGGTGGCTGCCACCTGCAGGGGGTGGGGGGGAGGCTGAGCCAGCAGGAGGGGTGAGACCTGCCGGGTGGCATAAGCTCAGGGGTTGGGGCTGCGGGGAGGACATGTCCCGCAGGGTCTTTGCGGTCACAGCTTGGCACGCAGGCTTGAGAACACGCCCACCCCCACTCCTGCACTGGGGGGCTTTGCCACGCCACACATCTTGCTCCAGGCCTTGAGCCAGAATCAGAGACCCCATTGCTTTCATCTGCAAACTGCGGCCCTTGTCCCAGGGCCCGGGCAGGCAAAGCTCCTGCTAGAGCCAGCCAGCAACAATACCGGGTCTCCCCAAGGCCCAGCTCTGAGCATCTGCGAGCTCCCAGCAGCCCCATGGGGATGCCACAGCCTCGGCATGCCATGCTGCCCTCCACGCTGCCATGCTTACCCTCCTCTGCCAGCGGTGGCACTCCTGGGTTGCAGTGACACTGTAATGTCAGCTCTTTAGGTCTGGTCTCCAGCCAGGAATGGATCCCGGCTCCAAAAGAGAAGAAATGCTTAGCAAGAGGAACATGAGACAAAATGAAAGCAGAGGGAAAATTTGTGCCTCTTGGCTCACTGCCCTTAAATCTTGCAAGATCCGGGACAATATGATACTGTGATGTCAGGTCAGGTCTAGTCCCCAGCCTGGAACAGACCCAAGGCTGTGGGGGCAGTGCTGAGCCCCAGCCGTGAGCCCACCAGGGGCATCTCACAAAACCGCAGCAGGAATTTTGCTGCCACTCAGGCAGGCAGGGGAAAGAGGCAGATTTGTTTAGAGCAAGAACAAGTTTATTAAAGAGAAAAGGAACAGAAATAAGTGGGACCCCCAGGCTGGTGGACCAGGCAGGGAGGGGCTAGGAAGCCGGGGGGAGTCATGCTCAGGGGATACATGCTTGCGTTTCCTGATCATCCTAAAGCCCCGCCCCCCCCACAACTCCATCTCTGTGACTGGTTGGTTCTCTGTGGTCTTACCCACTCTGCCTTAATGTCTCTGTGCCCAGAGCTAAGTCTCTCTCCAGCCCTGACCTCAGCTTTTTTTTTTAAAGATTTATTTTACTTATACAAAAGCTGGGGTACAGGCCAGATGTGCGGGAGGGTGAGAGGATTCACCAGAGATGGAGGGGGAACAGAACAGGCAGACTGATGAAATACACTGCTGAGGGGAGCAGCAGGTGAGACAGGAGAGGTCTGCTCGCCATGTGGGTTGCTCCAAGGTCAGCTGGGATCGAACCGGCGCTGCAGAGGCTGTGGACAGCTTCACAGAGCGCATTCAACCGCCTGCGCCACCAGGGAGGCCCAGCATACTTTTCTTTATTGTCCTTATTCTGGACTGTCCTGTGGCCCCCTGGTCCGGGGATGTGTGATCAATCCCCTTTGGAATGCGTTGCCCTTATCTCTGGAGCCTCCTTAACTCTCCGAAGCCCTTGCCTGCCCTGCCCAACTTGGCCCTGGATGCAGTGGGTCATCCAGGAGCAGCCCCCTCCTGACCCTCAGCTCCACCACATCTGTGAACCCCCTGGGCTCGCTGTCCACCACCCATAGGTTCTGGGGAATAGAGGGCATCTGGGGGTGTCCTTCCTCTGTCTTTGCGTTTGGCCCCCTGCCTTCCTCCCTCCCATTTTTTATCTCGATAACTAGACCCCAATTCCTCTTCAGTCCTGGAGTAATTACTGAGCCCTTCCTTTCCTCACTCACTCTGGAAAAGGAGGGAGTGAACCCCAGGGGAGAGCAAATTTGGCTCTTCCCTTACCACTTGTCTTTATTGCCCTTTTCACCCCCAGACCAGGCCTCCCGGTCTCAGTGGGTGACCCGAGGAGCTTCCTGGCCTGCCCCACCAGGGTCACCTTTTCCCAATCCAGTTTCCAGGGCAGAACACCATTTTTTAAATGCAAACTTGATGGAGTCTCTTAAAAATCATCTCCTGCAATGGAGGCATCACACTCCCAGACTTCAAACTATACTACAAAACCATAATCATCAAAACTGCATGGTATTGGAACAAGAACAGACATACAGACCAATGGAATCTAATAGAAAATCCAGAAATAAACCCACAGATTTATGGTCAACTAATCTTTGACAAAGGAGCAAAGACTATGCAATGGAGCAAAGAAAGTTTGTTCAATAAATGGTGCTGGGAAAACTGGGTCGCTACATGCAAAAGAATGAAGCTTGACCACTACCTCACACCATACACAAAAATCAACTCAAAATGGATTAAAGAACTAGACATAAGACCTGAAACCATAAAATACATAGAAGGAAATATAGGCGAAACACTACGTGATTTGCACATCAAAGACATCTTTACAGACACATCACCTAAAGCAGTGATAGTGAAGGCAAAGATCAACAGCTGGGACTACATCAAATTAAAGAGCTTCTGCACAGCAAAAGAGACAATAACAAAAACAAAGAGAAATCCCACCAACTGGGAGAACATTTTTGCACACAACACTAATGATAAAGGACTGATCACAAAAATCTGCAAAGAACTGATGAGACTCAGCAACAACAAAGAAAATAATCCAGTCAAAAAATGGGCAGAAGAGCTAAAAAGAAACTTCTCTGAAGAGGAAATGCAAATGGCCAACAGACATATGAAAAAATGTTCAACATCACTTGTAATCAGGGAAATGCAAATCAAAACTACCATGAGATACCATCTCACACCAGTGAGAGTGGCACATATTAAAAAAACTAGCAACAACAAATGTTGGCGAGGGTGTGGAGAAAAAGGAACTCTTCTGCACTGCTGGTGGGAGTGCAAACTGGTCCAACCACTATGGAGAGCTGTGTGGAGATTTCTGGAGCTACTAAACATAGAGCTTCCATATGATCTAGCAATTCCACTCCTAGGTATTTACCCAAAGGACACAGAAACATCAATTCCAAAGAGCACCTGCACCCCTATGTGTATAGCAGCACTATTTACAATAGCTAAGCTTTGGAAACAGCCCAAATGCCCAAAAATAGATGACTGGATCAAGAAGATGTGGTACATATATACCATGGAATATTACTCAGCATTCAAAAAAGATAAACACATGCAATTTGCAGCAACATGGATGGTGCTGGAAGGGATCATGCTCAGCGAAATAAGCCAGAAAGAAAAAGAAAAATACCGGATGGTCTCACTCATAGCAGGAATCTAGAAAACTTAAATAAGGGACCAGGAAAATGAATAACTATAAGAAAGTGAAAATCAAAATCAACAAAAAACTATGAACCAGAGACACTTTTTGGGGGGTGGGGGGCGGGAGGGGAGGGATTGGGGTCAGAATGGGGGGTTTGCAATTGTATGGGGTAATATAAAAATAAAATTTATTATTTAAAAAAAAATCATCTCCTGCAGTGGAGTCTATCAATTCCTCAAGAAGAAGCAGGTTCTTTGCCCCCCTGGGCGGCTCACCTGGGCCCCCTCTGGCTGCAGCCCTGACAAGAAGCTGACCCCAGTCCCACAAGGTGGAGGCACAGCCCCAGGGCTGCTTCCAAGGCCAGCGAGGCTCCAAGGCCCGCACCTGCACCGCCCACATCTCCACCATGGCTAGTCAGGTAGCAAAGCTCTGCAGGCGCCCACCAGCCCCCATGGTGGTTCCTGAAAGGGGATGCTCTAGAAAGGATGCAATTTGAGAGTCAACCCAACCTCGCTCATTAAGCGGAAGGAAGCTGTTGTTTGTCCCGGAACCCCTGCGGGTGCAAACTCGGGCACAGAGTGGCCTCGTGGTGCAGAGGGGACTAGGGGCGCAGAGCGAACCGGCAGTGCAGAGTGCACTGGTCCTGGCTCCCGCTGAGCTGTGCTTCGACTCACGTGGCAGAGCAGGATGGCCGGCTGGTCTCCCTGGCGCGGGGAGCCGCTCCGGCCCCTGACGCCCCTTTTCTCCTGTCCCAGGGGAGTTGTCCTAGTGGCTCTGGTGCTGCTCACGCTGCCAGCGGCTCAGGGTGAGATGAGGGCGCAGGGGGACGCGCGGGGAGCGGGTGAGGCTGGGCGCAGCCGGGGTACCTGTGGAGCTGCCTGAGTGAGACAAGGCATGTGGGAAGCAGGTGCCACCTGGGCGCTGCAGGGGTGCGGGGTACCAGGGCAGAGCGAGTGCGCAGCGCCAGACCCGGGACCCAGGAGTCCTCTTGGGCGCCTCTGGCGCTCCCTCTGCAGGACGCGGAGAGCAGAGCCCGGGCAGGGATTCCTAGCGCAGCACTGGGAATGGGGGAAGGGAAGGCGCAGACGTTGCACAGAAGGCCTCTGGGAATACACAAGGACCCCAGCAGAGGGGCTGCTGCGCCCCGTCCTGGGAAGGAGGTTTGGAGCTGGCAGAGCTGGGTTCTGTCCCGCAGCCCGAAATCTGTGGGAAGTCCCTACAGCTCCAAGTCTGCTTCCCAGCCTGTGAGATGGGAACAGGGTAACCCCCACCAGGCCCCCTGAACGGCGTAAGGGGACAGTGGAGCCTGTCACTTTGCCAATTTAGATACCAGAGCTGGCCCTTGCACCTGTTATTCAGGCAAGCAGTCCTGGAGCCGCAGTTACCACCTGGAGCCACCCACGGCACTCAGTCCTCCACCCCCAGCCGCCACCACTGATTGCACACTTGGGTGGCCATGGGTGAGAGGCACTCACCCTGCACAAAGGTGGCGGCAGGGGAGGGAGGGGCAGCATGGGCAGCCAGATGTTCAGTGCACAGCGAAGCCAAATTTAGGGTAGAACCTGCCTTCCTTCCTCTAACTGGAAGTAGGGGAACCCCACAGGCTCGTGCACCCCACAGGCTCGTGCACCCCACAGGCTCGTGCACCCTGCAGGCTCATGCACTCAGGGGCTCATGCACCCCAGGGCTCATGCACCCCGCAGGCTTGTGTGCCTCGGGGCCCTAGCACCCTGGAGCAAGTGCACTCTGCAGGCTCATGCCCCCTGGGACCCGTGCACCCTGCAGGCGGGTGCACTCCGGGACCCATGTGCCCTGCAGTCCCATGCACCCTGGGGCCTGCAGGCTCATGCACCCGGGGCCTGTGCGCCTCACAGGCCCGTGTACCCTGGGGCCCATGTGGTCTGGGCAGAGGCATCCTATGGCGGGGTGGGGTGGTGTCGAGGCTGGCACACCTGATTTGCCCTCCTGCCACTGGGCACGGCTCTGTGCTGAGAGCTGCCCAAGGCCAGGGCCAGCCTGCAGCCACAAGTGCTGCTTGTCACTGGGCTGGGAACAAGTGGTGCTGCCCCAGGTAGAAGGGGGACTTCCCTGGGCGAGGACCCCTTAGTCAGTGTCCCTGTTATAAATAGACATAACTGACCTCACTGTCCAGTGTCCCTGTGAAGCCAGGAGGGTGCGCGGGCAAGATTTGCTGCCTGACACCCCCTCAGGTGGGAGACAGCATAGAGGGTCAGCCAAGAGGGGGCCCTGGGCACTGGAAAGAGCTTTAGTCCCCCAGGGTGGCCCGTGAGAGAGGGTGCAGGGGTAGGGCACTTTCCCATGAGGGTCCTGCACTGTGTGAACATTCCCAGCTCCTTCCTGGGGCATGTCCATGTGGGAGGGCTCTGGCACCCCCACCGGCCCTGGAGTCTCCCTCTGCTCCCCACTGTGTAGACCCAGCTGGGGTTGCCAAGGGCGATTTGCACCTGGAACACATTCCACCCCCATATGCCAGAGGAGGCGGTATTTGCCAGGCTGCCTTATCCCAGGGGGTGCCCAGGCCAGGAGCCCCAGTCTGCCTGACCAGGCCCACAGACATAGTCCCAGTTCCCTCACATGGGACATGTGCCCCCTCCCCCGTCCTCTCCTCGTCCCCTCCCCCACACCCTTCCCTGCCCTCCCCCACCCCACCCCCCAGAGCTCCACCGGCTCAGGAAGGGCAGGTGCCACTGCAGTACCTCATTTTTGGCCAGCATGTCTGGGGCGTCCCATGGAGAGGGGGAGGTTAGAGCAGCATTGTGCCGGCTCACCTGGCCCGTTCTGGTACAGGTCAGTGTGCAGTCCCCGAGCAGCTGCCGTTCGCCAAGCTGACAAAGGTGCCCGTGGAGCGCGAGTTTCCTGTCGGGGCCCGGCTAAGCTACATGTGCCGCCCGGGCTTCCATGGGAGGCCGTTCTCCATCACCTGCCTCCAGAGCCGCACCTGGTCGACCCCAATGCTCTGCAAGCGTGAGTAGCCACCTTGGGCCTTGCAGCCGCCCTCACTGGACCCCGAACTCCGTGGGGAGGTTGGGGCGAGGCTGCGGAGCCTCAGGAGATGGGCGCCCCTCCCAGCGCGTGGGACAAGCAGCTGCAACAGGGTTGGCCCGGCCAGACATGGTGGAGGGCTGCCCATCTCCGCGGGGTCCACATGTCCATGACTGAAATAAGCCGCCGGGAGGTGGGGAGGGTGGCGCTGATTCCATGGAGTGCAGAGTCCCAGCCTCACCTCGCCCTGGCCAACATGCAGCAAACACTCTGGGACGGGATGACGCTGGCAGCTCCCCGGCTTGCAGCCTGGGACAGGGATCTCCAATGGGGCTTGGAGCACAGTTCCTCCTGGGGGGATGCATCTGAGGTCTCTCTGAGTCTCCTTAGCTGTCAATCCCGCAGGCCTGCAGTGCTCCCCAGGGAGGCCTGTGGCTGCACGCCAGGCAGCTCAGAGCAGCTGCTGCGACCCTGCTCCTCCTGCAGGCAAGGCATGCAGTAACCCCCGCGACCTCCCCAATGGCAAGATGACCATACCCGGGGACACCACGTTCGGGTCGACCATCACCTACACCTGTAACGAAGGGTGAGTGGGTCTGAGTGACATTTCCGGATTCAGCGCCAGCCTCAGGAGGCAGCCGACGGAGAGGTGGCCACTGGAATCCCGGAATTTCACTCCCCTTGGAATGACTAAGCAAATATTTGACAAGTAGGGAAGACTCAGATCTGTGCTGGAAACTGGGGGCGGGAGGGTGCCCATGGGCACCAAAGCAACACCACGAAATGCATTCAAGCCTGAGGCCTCGAGAAGCAAATGGCCCAACACCCCAGGTGGGGCTCTCTCCTGGAGCTCTGGAGCTGGCAGGTGGGCTGGGGAGGGCAGGCAGGGTCCTGCTGTCTGGGTCACATGTCTGGACTTAGCCTTGGGGGACATAGCCGCTGAGGGCACAAGGAGGGCACAAGACTGCCTCACCCTGCCTCCTAACTCTGGCTTTGTTTTCACTACTCACTGCTGGTAACACACCCACAGTAGCATACGTGAAAAGAAACTCCTGATGGTGATGCAATGAACACAGTGTAGACCCGCCCACCAGTAGTGCAATGAATGCAGTGTAGAACCGCCACCTTGGAGTAGGTCCTGGCCCCTCCAGAGCTTCCGTGTGCTCAGCGTACCCGCTCCTCCAGCCTAGGCGGAGAAGCAGATAGGACTTGCTGACACTTTACGAAAGGTCTCTGCCTGTGCATGGGAGCAGCACAGTGCAGGGTGCCGGACAGTTGCAGGCACAGGGCTGGCCCAGCAGTCAGGACGGCCAGGATGCACCGACCAGGGAAAACTGGCTTTGGCCTCGTGTGAGCGGTGACTTCCGGGGGCGACTGTGCATAGTCGGGGATGCGCCTGTGCTTCACCCTAGATTTCGCCTCATCGGGGAATCCTCCACCACGTGTGTTCTCTCGGGCAGCACCGTCACCTGGGATAGCGAACCCCCTTTATGTGAGAGTGAGTTGAAAGATTTCTTCCTGTTACCCGCAGCTCTGAGTCCTGGGTGCGGCCGTCTCTGCACCACCGCACCCCCTGCCACGGCCCCCGCCCACGCTTCCCACCATGGACCCTTTGTGCCCCTTACCCCTGCACCCCTGGCCGCTCCTCTGCACCCCCCCGCCCTTGTCCACGCCCTTCCGCACAGGTTCCCCCCACGTGTCACCCCGCCTCCAGCACCCCTCTATGCCCCCAGCCGCAGCACCCACACCTGCGACCACCTCCGTGGCCCCCCCAACACGAACCCCATCGTGGCCCCCACAACCCCTTGCCCTTCCCCCGCGCCCCCTGCGGGGGGTGTCCCTCCCTCCCCCCGCACCCTGCTTGATCCCCTCCAGACAGCCTGCGGGCTGTCTGAAGGCTGGTCGGGTGACAGACCCCAGTTCTTCCTCATCTTGGGACATGCCTCTCCTGAATTTGGGGACTCAACACTTCAGAGCCTTCAAGCCTTATTTTCATTTCAATTAATTTAAAGACACGTTGTCTCCACCATCTGGTGGGGTGATGATTCTCTGCTATTCAGTAAAACTTTGGCGGCACCTGCTTACAAATTAGCTGTTGTTCATGTGAAATTCAAATTTCACTGGACACCTGGTGTTTCTGTTACCAGATCTGGCAACCCAAACTGGGCTCCTCATCATTCTGGTTTTCTTTATCTTCTTGAGTGAACTTTGGTGACTTATATTCCTACTCATTTAAATCAGATTTTGACCATAGAGGAGTCTGCGGGTGTCTAAGCATCTTCACAAGAATGTATTTGGAAGGCAAATACATTCGCCTTCCATTTCCTGCCACTGCGTGTCTGTGTTGTCTCTCTTATGCTTTTTTTCTTTGCAAGGGTGTTTATTTTACTTTCTAAAGCAACATCAGTTAATACAAAAGTGGAAATTTAGACATAAATTGGAAAAGAGCAGAAGACAAGCTGTGCCAGCACTGGTATAGTACTGTTGCCAAGGAACTGTTCGAGTGAAAGGCTATGGGTCGTATTAATAAAGGCAGATGCTTATGGGGGTGACATGGCATGAGAGCAGAACTCAACTGTTAACCCGCCGAGATGATTTCTTTGTAAAAGCCGACTGGCGTGTTGCGAGGATTGGAAGCAAATAATGAACATAGAGACAATGGCTCCCTGCCCAATGTGGCCTCTCTAGCCTTTAGGCTCCCTGTTGCCTGACCTGCCTCCTTTCCCCAGGCATTCCTTGTGGGCCACCCCCCAGCATCGCCAATGGGTTTTTCATGAGCTCGAACCCTGAATACTTTCCCTACGGGGCAGTAGTGACCTACCACTGCAAAAATCTCGTGGTGGGCAGGAGGACCAGGCCCGCGAGACTGGTGGGAGAGCGGACCATCTACTGCACCAGCAAAGACAACCGCGAGGGCATCTGGAGTGGCCCCGCCCCACAGTGCCTGGTGCCCAACACGTGCACGCCCCCCACCCTTGAGCCCGGCGCCCGGCTGTCCGAGAACAGGAGCCTGTTCTACTTGGGTGAAACCGTGGCCGTCGAGTGCCTCCCCGGCTTCGTCATGGCAGGGCCACCCCGGGTGAGCTGCCAGGCCCAGAACCAGTGGGGCCCAGCGCTGCCCACCTGCTCCAAGGGTGAGTCGGAGGGGCAGGTGGTGGACTGCGAGGAGCAGGGTTTGTCAGGGAAGGTAAATTTGGGGGAGACAGGGTGTGTAATTGAGGTGTGTGCATGCAGCTGTGTTCATGCCCCTTCATTTGGGGACCAAGAGCTCCATCAGCCAAGGACAGAACCCTTGAGACTCTCCTAGGGGTGATTCTGGGGCACAGCTTGCGGGTGGCCCTGTGTGTCAGTGGTGCCTCCCCTGCTGTGCTGGATGGCGCCTTGGAAACCCCTCCCTGAGCCCCTGGGTGAGGACAGCCTGACTCCGGTCACTGCTGCTGAGAGCACCTCAGACATGGGGGTCATCAGCCGGGAGCCCGAGGGCTGAGCTGCCTCCCTCAGGCAGAGCCAGCTGGGGCCTGTCTTAGCAGCCCCCTCACTTCCCAACCCATGTATCAGTCCTGGCCCCACCTGCCTGGATTACTCAGCGCCTGATGCTGGAAGGGGAAGTAGCTTACTGGGCATCAGTGGGTCACTCCTCACCCCAGAGAGGATGAGTAGAAGGTAGACGCAGCATGGTGTCCTGAGCAGCCCCCTGAGGGCACCAGGTATGCCCTTCTGGCACCCCTGTGGCCCATCGAGGGGACTCCGTGCATGTGTCTTCAGGCCACGGAGCTGCGGGAGAGGCTGGGTCTGCTGCGGCCGATTTGCAGGCCCAAAGCGGGCCATCGCACTCCCCCCACCATGTCCCGGGAGGTCTGAGGGGCCACTCGTGGGGCGCACTCAGCCCCAGGGGCTGTCGAGTGCCGGGGGGGTTGCTTGCCAGAAGTGTCCCCGGCTGACACTGAAGGGGGCACAGCTCTGGCCTTGGCCTGGCTGGGGAGCTGGCCCTGGGGGCTGGCCTTCTTTGGCCCCTCCTGCTATCTCCCTGTTATGCATCTCTACATCCCGGCTGGGATTGGGCCTGCAACTATGCCAAATCAGCACTCTTCCCAGCATGCTGCCGCTGCCCATCCTGCAGGCCAGGCCCACCCCAATGCCCAGTTTTTCTTCCCCCACCGGGAGGCTCGGTGCTGCTGCCTGCCTGGCCACCACTGACCAGGGCGATACTCTAGGGGCAATGGAGCTGCCATGCCCTCTGGCGGCCTGCCCCCCCGCCCCCACCCCAGGCCGGGGTTCGTGCTGCCTCACGGCAAGGGGCCTGTGTGCCCTTCCCCTCCAGAGCTCACCTGCCCCGACTTCCCGGACCCACTCCCGAACGGCCGCGTGCTGCCCCCGCGGACCCTCCAGCTCGGGGCGAGAGTGGCCTTCGCTTGTGACGAGGGGTGAGTGAAGGTGGACAGGGCAGCGGCTGTGGAGGAGGAGGACTATGGCCAAGCAGTGAGGGGGATGTGGGGCGAGAACAGGCGGGGCAGGGCAGGGGCGGGGGTGGGTGCGGCCACTGAGCTGGTGGCTGAGGTGCAGACTGTCACTCCTGGGCACAGGGAAATACCTGGTCAAGGTCTGACGTAAGAGCAAGTCCTTTGTGAGATCGGCAGTGGGAGACTGGTTTGGGAGTGTCTCTGGTGGGGGGTTGGGGGGGAAGGTGCACAGAAGCCCAGGGTATGCAACCCCAGCCTCACGCCCAGGCAGAGCTCTTGTCCCCGAGGCCCCTTGACAGCCCAACCCAATCCCCACGGCCCTGGGCCCACCGCCTGCGGCCCACATGCTCCAGGAAGACCATCTTCCTGCAGGCTTGTCTCACCTTGCTCCCTGTGTCCCAAGAGCACGGCCCCCCAACACTTGCGGGGCTTTGCCGTCCTACCGGCAGGTGAAGCAGGTGGTCCTCCTGGCTCCTCAGGCCAGGAAAATGGATCAGATCCATCCTGGGGTCCCGCAGGGGCCAGGGAAGGCGGGTGGCGCAGACGGTGGGCGACCCTCACGGCCCACCCTTGTCCTGGCTCTTTCCTGCCGGAAGCTGCTGGCCTCATGTCTGGGTGACCACAGCTGCCCAGCCAAGCTATTCTCCTCCTGGGGACCATGGGGGCCACCGTGCAGTGGGGCCAGAGACCTGCTCACCCCTGTCCCACCCTCAGGTTCCGTCTGGAGGGCCCCTGGGCCAGCCACTGTGTGCTGGTGGGGGCAAGTGCCCTGTGGAACAGCAGTGCCCCGACCTGTGAGGGTGAGTACTCCCAGGCCTGGAGAGGAGGCCCCCCCCCGCACAGGTCCTCCCCAGGAGGCGGTGAGCCCTGGAGGCCACCGGCCGCCCAGGTGCATGGACAGAGTGAGAGGAAGGCCTACCTGGGCCCTGACTCTCCTCAGGGGCCCATGGCTGGTGTGGTGTGAGCCAGCACGTGGTGGGGGGAGCCCCGCTTCCCAAACCCCGTGGTCTCTGGGAAACGAGGGCATCTTTTTTCCAGGAATCTTGTGTCCACGTCCCCCCGACATTCTGAACGGGCGCCACACAGGAGAAGAACAGGACAACTTTCCCTACGGCACGGTCGTCAGATATGCCTGTGACCACCGCCCACAGGGGGGCCCGGCCTGGGAGCTCAAGGGGCAGAGCATCCTGCACTGTGAGAGCGACACTCACGGCCACGGGGTCTGGAGTGGCCCTGTGCCCCGCTGTGAGCTCACGGGTCCTGCCGGTCAGTGCCTGGCTCATGGCCGAAGGCCCATCCCTTCCCACCCGCCCTCCGTGGGTCTCTAGGGAGAGTGTGGTGTTTGCTTGTGACGGGTTCTGCCCCAGGGAAATGTCAGGTTGATGCAGGGGCTGAAATAGGCCCCGCAGTGCTGAGCAGCTCTGCAGAGGCAGGGATCCCCCAGGGGCTCTCGCTGGTGAATGAAGAGGGGGTTGTCCCGGGGTCCCTGTGCTGGTCTGCAGAGGCTGGTCACTACCCGGGACTAGCCCTGTGGGGTGGCAAGGAGGGGTAAGATCGGCGGCCAGGGCCTCCCCTGTGGCGCAGCGGTTGAGTGCTGGGCTGCAAAGCTGCCCGCAGCCTCTGCAGCACTGGTTCAATCCCCGGCCGCCGGCGATGGTTCCACATGGTGCGCAGACCTCTCCTGCCGCACCCACTGCCTCCCTCAGCAGTGTACTTTGTCAGTCTGCCTGCTCTGCTCCCCGCTCTGGCTCTGGTGAATTCTCTCACCCTCCCACGCTTCTGACTATACCCAGTGCTTGTATAAATAAATAAATAAATATTTTAAAAAAATGATCTGCAGCCAGCGGAGGGGAGACAGGAAGGCTACACTATAACAGGGAGAGAATGTCTCATGGGGAAGACCTGCAAGCACGTGGGCACGCCAGGGCCCACAGCCAAGGTCTCCTGGCTATGGGACAGCCCGCGAGGACTCTCAGGTCCTCTGTGCATAGACCCAGCAGCCAAAGGGCCATTGCTCTGCTCAAATGGCCCCAGTTGGCCTCCCAAATAAAGGCCCGAATAACGACCCTTTCCCTGAATAAGGGCCCTTCCTGAGCACCTGGGTGTGGTTCCTCCGGTGCTCTCCATCCCAGCCTGAGTGCACAGGAGCCAGCAGCAAGGGCCAGGGGGTCAGGGGCCCTGAGTGAGGAGGCAGAGCAGGGAAGTCCAGAAGGGAGTCTTGCTAGACCCATGACAACCTGGGGGCGGGCATGGGGGCATGCAGGCCCCTGGTGGGAAGCCCCTGGTGGGGGGGGGTACTGGGAGGCCCCAGGGGTGGGAGGCCAGGGGGAGGGAGGGGAAGCCCCTGGGGAATGGAAGGCTGAGCCCACGAAACTTCAGCCAAACCTGGAACAGAGGGCCTCGGGCAGTGGGAGGACTCAAGGCTGTGCCCTTTGCTCGCCCAACCTCGTGCTGGCTGCCCGCACCCTGTGCTGTGACCTGCAGGTTTCTGCGAGGCCCCGGAAGACTTCCCCTTCGCCGAGCCCACTGACCCAAGGCGGGAATCCCAGTTCCCGGTGGGGACGGCTTTGAATTACGAGTGCCGCCCCGGGTATCGCGGAAGCACCTTCTCCATTACCTGCCTGGAGAGCCTGGCCTGGTCAGGGGCCGAAGGTCTCTGTCGCCGTGAGTGAGCCTGGCCAGCGAGCAGGGGCTGGGGTGTAGCACACCTTGGGGGCCCAGCCCATGGGCAGTACCCCAGTGCCTGGGGCTTCCACCTGGGTACCCCAGCCCGAGAGCTAGAGGGGCCTCTGCTCATGGAGCTGTGCCAGGTGGCGAAGTTAAAGATGAGTGAAGTGGAGGGAGGGCAAGGCCGGGGCCACAGCGGGCTGTGATAGGAACCCCAGGGCACAAGGCCAGGGCTATGGTCAGGAGACGTGGCAGGACTTTGTTGAAGCAGAGCCCAGTACCAGTGCCCATGCCCCATGCCCATGTCTGGAGCTCATGCCCGGCAGCCAGTGCCCAGTGCCCATGCCTGGCACACAATGCCCAGTGCCCATGCCCCATGCGGTGCCTGGTGTCAATACCCGGTAGCCAGTGCCTGGAGCCCAGTGCCCTTTGCCTGTGCCTGGTGTCCATGCCTGGCGCCCAGTGCCTGGCACCCATTGCCTGTGTCCGGTGCCTGTGTCCCGAGGGGCTCGACTCACTGTGGGCTGTCCCCAGGGGCCACATCTGGGAACGCACGGATGCTCACTCCACTCTGGGGCTGAGCAGGTCAAGTCTCCTCCTCATCTGAATCTGCCCCTTTCCTTCAGGGAGGTCCTGTGGAGCACCCCCCGAGCCCCACAACGGCATGGTGCTTGTGAACACAGACACCCAGTTTGGATCAACAGTTAATTATACCTGTAATGAAGGGTAAGTGGGGAGCTCTGTCTCTGGGTGTCCACCCACCCTTGGAAAAACAGGTGTTAGGGCCTGAGTAGGAAGGGGCCAGGCCCTGGGGCCAGGCATCCGTGGAAAGATGGGGCCGTGGAAAGGAAGGGGCCATGGTGGGGGCGGGGCCTCGCACATGCTAAGCTGAGCTGCAGGCCCAGGGAGGAGAGTGGCAAAGTGTGCCAGGCCTTGAGGCCAGACCATTGGAAACAGATGGTCAGCTGCACCCTCAACTCAGATGGGGCATTTCGAAACGGGTAATTTTAGCCGCCAGGCAAAACTGAAAAGGATGTCGCCATCAGTGAGTGTTGAGTCTTTGTGCAAAGCTGCTTGTGGTCGTCAGCCCCGCCAGCTCCTCTGACACAACAGCTGAGACTCTAGCAGGACATCCATCTCAACCCCTTCCGCCTGTGTGCATGAACCCAGGGCGCTCTCTGGGAGCAAACCAAGCACCCTTAGTCATGAGGAATGAGGCACAAGAGCCACGTATCAGAGTGGAGGCCCAATCCTCCCTGTGCCAGGCAGCAGGCCTGGACAGCAAAGGGGTGGCAACACTCGTGTGGGTTGTGGGGCCCGCAGGACAACTAGGGCACTTAAAACTGACTATCCACTGGCCTCGGGGAAGTCAGCTCAGCCTGGATGCCCGGCTGCATTGGGACGAAACGCCCTCCTTCACAGCTGAGACTGGACTCACTGTCCGACACACACCACAGGTGTGAGGGGTCTAAAAACCAGATGGGAGAAAAGCGTTAAAGGAACACCAGGGAGGAGAGTTTCGCCTCCGAGAACGTCTGCTCTCCCGTCGTCAAGGCTAATAATGAGCGACCAGGCCTTGACGCTGCCTGGGAGAGATTCACAAAATTCAGAAATTCAACAAAGAATACTGCAACTTTCTGGAGGAGTGCCCATCGGTGCCCCATGCGCCCCCTCAGGCCGAACAGTGGACATTGGCACTTTGCGGGAAAACGGCTGTCTAGGCAGCCGGTCAGCCAGTGCCGGCTCCGCAGGCCCGCAGGTCGGGCTGAGCAGCAGCTGCAGAGCCTTCCTGCAGAGAGCGAACCCCACAGAGCCACGAGGAAGAAATGACAAGGCACAAAACACGTCAGAGTTGCCACAGTGAGACTCTTTAAATGGACATGAGACTCGGCATGACGGGAGGGCCACTCCGAACCTCATGGGATGGGAGGGGAGAGCAGGCGGTTGGACAGAACTGGGTAGTTGGGGATGAGGGAAAGCCCGAGGTGAGGGGTGTGTAACGCATGTGTGACGTGTGATCTGGACATGACCAGTCTGACCTGGCATCTGGACAGTGTGGAGTTGGCACGTAGGACCTTGGTCACAGTGGTCATCGGAAGACCAAGACCACAGTGTCCGTGCAGAAAAGGGGTGACGAAGGCTGACGGGACCCTGTGTCCCCGGTGGAGGCCTGGCCAGCAGAACGGCGGGGCTGGCCCAGGGCCGCGTCAGCCCCGGGACGGTTACACAGAAAAGCAGAGGGACAGGCCTGCATGGCGGCCCGTCACTCCTCCTGGACAGAAGCTGGCCCCGGGGGCTCCCTGGTGCCCTCACCCACAGACATGGGAGCCTCCGCCTTCCCTCTCTGGAGACGGGGCCCACGCATCGCACCTTGGCCTCAGCCAGCTGCGTGGGAGCGTGGAAGACGCCGTGACGACCGCTCCCATCCCTCCAGCGAGCTCAGTACCACTCACAATGGCTGCATGGGGTGACGCCCACTGGTGGTGGCGAGGGCGCCCCTAAATGGGGCTCTGGCACCGATGAAAGAGGGGTGGGTCCAGCAACCCCACGGTCCGTTCAGGGGTACTGCCCTGACCCAGGTCCTGGGCAAGCAGGGAGGCAGCAGGAGGCATGGGGACAGTGCTGCGGAGCAGGCGGTCCCGGGACACACTGGGGTGGCGGTCACGTGAGGAGAGGGCAGGACAGTGGGCAAAAGGGACAGTGGGCCTGTGGTCAGTAGGGAGAGGCGGCTATGCACAACTTCCCCCCACATCCCCAACCCCATCCTGGAGTCACGTCCTGCCAGTGCCTAGTGGCGCAGGTGAGTGACCAGCATCCCCCCTGCCTGCAGGTACTGGCTCCGTGGGGCCCGTGCGGCCACCTGTCTGCTCTCAGGCAGCGACGTCGCATGGGACAGGGAGGCGCCAACCTGCGAGCGTGAGTCAAAGTTTCCCCACGATCCCCTTGCCTGGGGCCATCACGGAGACATGGAAAAGGGAGCCCCAACACTGGCAGTCCTCCCGGCTGCTGCATGGGGGGCGGTTTACCTGAAATGGGGGCCTCACATTCAGGCAGAAGTCCAGCTGGCCAGGCCGCTCTGTGGCAGAGAGATCATTTCCCAGGGAGCAGGCTCTGAGGCCACCAGAGATAGACCCGCTGCCCCTGAGTACCGGGACCACGCCTCCCCCTCCTTCTCTCTGGGCAGGGTTCACTGTGCCCACAGAACCATAACAGAAACGCGCTGAAGGCCCAAGAGCAGAGTGCCGGCTCTGCAGGTGCCGACCTGCCCGGTCAGAATCCCTGAAAAAATTCAAAGTAGCCAGGCTGCTCCCCGGCCATGCCCCAGCTCAGGCTCTGGGGGCCCACAGCTGCCCCAGAGGCTGTGTGAACCTGGGGCCATGGCCAGGGCTTTGGAAACTGATGACAGCACTGTCCAGTTCAGCCTCTTGCTGCCCTCAACCTGATCCCTTTCTCTCCAGCCACCCCGTCCCCTTGCTCCTGGAGCCGGCACGGCACGGGTGTGGCTTGTCCAAGAGGGACAGTGACGTGTAGCCATGCCTGCCCTCAGGCCACCTGGGGCCCCTGGCTGTATGGTTGCCTCGATCGGACCTTCTGGCCTCTGAAGAGCTTGTGTTCCCACAGAGATCTTCTGTGCAGCCCCACCGTCCATTGAGCATGGGACCCACTCTGGAGGACACGCCAGGGCCTTTCCCTATGGAGTGGCCGTCAGCTACACCTGTGACCACCGCCCACAGGGGGGCCTGGCCTGGGAGCTCAAGGGGCAGAGTGTCCTGCACTGCATGAGCGACACTCATGGCCACGGGGTCTGGAGCGACCCTGTGCCCCACTGTGAGCTCACAGGTCCTGCCGGTCAGTGTCTTGCTCATGTCCAAGGGCCTTCCTGTCTGCCCTCTGTGGGTCTCTAGGGAGAGTGTGGTGTTTGCTTATGATGGGTTCTGCCCCAGGGAAGTGTCCAGGTTGATGCTGGGGCTGAACAGTCCCCGCAGAACAGGCCCCGCAGTGCGGAGCAGCTCTGCAGAGGCACCCCCACCCCGGGATTCTCGTTGGCAGGGTGGCGAGGGGGTTCCAGGGTCCCTGAGCAGGTCTGAATAGGTGACTCACCCCCCGGCACTCTCTCTGCGGGATGGCAAGGAGGGGTAAGAGCAGCAGCCAGCGGCGGGGAGGCAGGAAGGCTACACTGTAAGAGGGAGAGAACATCTCAAGGGGAGGACCCACAAGCAGGTAGGTACATGATGGCCCACAGCCAAGGTCACCTGGCAATGGGGCAGCCTGTGAGGGCTCTTGGGGCCTCTGTGCATAGACCCAGCAGCCAAAAGGCCATTGCTCCATTCAAGTGGCCCCGCTCAGCCTCCCGCTGGCCCCCCGTTTCCTGATCCTAGACCCCTGGAAGGGGAGAAGCAAGGGGACCAGCTCCGAGGACTAGGCCTCTGAGCTCAGGACCAGGATGGCTTCCCAGCTCCAGCTGACCTTGGCCTCCCTGCAGGCTGGGTGCCTGGAGCAAGGTCTCATCTGTGGGAGCTCTCTGGGGAAAGGCTTTAGCTCCTGTGGCCCTGGCCTCCAGGTGGCCCTTTGAGATGCCGTGACCCATGCCAGGCCCAGCACGTGGCAGCCCCCCAAGGAGCCAGTGGTCTCAGAGCTACTTCAGAAGGGCAAAGCAAGTCAGAGTTGCTGCCAGAGGCTTCGGCTAACCTGTCCTTGTCCTGAATGTCTGCTGAACCAACCAGGACAGCAGTGTCTGTCTGTGATGCCCAGGGCTACCGGACAATGGGCAAGTGGGGGCTGCCAGAAGAAGTGACCCCTGCGCTGGGGGCATCTGAAGGATGCGGCCGCCACTCCCGCCTCAGGCAGCCTCCTCTGCCTCCCAGTAGCCCAGCCCTACCTCCACACAGTCCTGAGGCTCATCCCCCTCCTCTGATGAAGATGCCAGGACAAGGTCATCTGAGAATGTCACCTCAATGATGGCTTTAAAAAGACCCTTTCCTCAAATAAGGTCCCTTCCTAAGAACCTGGGTGTGGTTCCTCAGGGGCAGGGCCCCCCAGCCCTAGTGCAAGGGAGCCAGCAGTAAGGGACCAAGGGGATGGGAGTGACAAGCGAGGAGGCAGAGCGGGGAAGGCCGGAAGGGAGCCTTGCTAGACCCGTGCCAGTGTGGGCAGGCAGGACCCTGGTGGGAGTCCCTGGAGGAGGGGAGGTCCCAGTGGGTGGGAGGCCACAGAGGGCAAAGGTTCCAGGGTGGGAAGCTGTGCCACAGAATATCAGCCAGACCTGGAACAGAGGGCCTTGGGCAGTGGGAGGACTCGAGGCTGTGGCCCTTGCATGCCCACTCTCAGGCTGGCTGCCCACGCCCTCTTCTGTGACCTGCAGGTTTGTGCAAGGCCCCGGAAGACTTTGCCTTCGCCGAGCCCACTGACCCGAGGCGGGAGTCTGAGTTCCTGGTGGGGACGGCCTTGAGTTACGAGTGCCGCCCTGGGTATCGTGGAAGCACCTTCTCCATCACCTGCCTGGAGAGTCTGGCCTGGTCGGGGGCCGAAGGTCGCTGTCACCGTGAGTGAGCCCGGCAAGCGAGCAGGGGCTGGGGTGTAGCACACCTTGGGGGCCCAGCCCATGGGCAGTACCCCAGTGCCTGGGGCTTCCACCCAGGTCCCACAGCCTGAGAGCTGGAGGGGCCTCTGCTCACAAGCTGTGCTGGGTGGCGAAGCTACAGATGAGTAAGTGGTGGGAGGATGAGGCTGGGACCACAGCAGCTATGACAGGAAACCCAGGGTGCAAGGCCAGGGCTATGGTCAGGAGACATAGCAGGGCTTTGTTGAAGCAGTGCCCTGTGCCCTGTGCCCAGTGCCCATTCCCCATGCCTGTGCCTGGTGGTCATGCCTGGTAGCCAGTGCCCATGTCTGGTGCCCATGTTCCCAGGGGCTCGTCTCCGTGTGGGTGCTGTGCTATCCCAGGGACCACGTCTGAGGACTCACGGACACTCGCTCCATTCTGGGGCTGAGCAGGTCAGGTCTCCTCCTTGTCTGATTCTGCCCCTTTCCTGCAGGGAGGTCCTGTGGAGCCCCCCCTGAGCCCCAAAATGGCATGGTGCTTGTGAACACAGACACCCAGTTTGGATCAACAGTTAATTATTCCTGCAGTGAAGGGTGAGTGGGGAGCTCTGTCTCTGGGTGTCCACCCAGGCCTTGTGAAAGCAGGCGTTAGTGTCCTGGGTAGGATGGGGCCAGGCCCTGGGAGAGGCCAGGGGGCCGTGGAAAGGAAGGGACAGTGGTGGGATGGGTGCCTCGCTCCTGCTAAGGAGGAGAAGGGGGTGGGGATGGGGAAAGCATGCCAGGTGTCAGGGCCAGGCCCCTGGAAACACATGGTCAGCCGCACCCCAACTCGGACAGAGCATTTTGGTTGTGGGGTAATTTCAGCCACCAGGCAAAATTGAAAAGGATGTCACCATCAGTGTGTTGAGTCTTCGTGCAAAGCTGCCTGTGGTCGTCAGCCCCACTGGCTCCTCTGACACAGTAGTTGAGACTCTGGTCCAACGTCCATCTCAACCCCTCCTGCCTGTGTGTGTGAGCCCAGGGCGCTCTCTGGGAGCAAACCAAGCACCCTCAGACACGAGGAGCCGGGCATCCGGCTGCATTGGGACAAAATGCCCTCACAGCTGAGACTGGACTCACTGTCCGACACACACCACAGGTGTGAGGGGTCTAAAAACCAGATGGGAGAAAAGCGTTAAAGGAACACCAGGGAGGAGAGTTTCGCCTCCGAGAACGTCTGCTCTCCCGTCGTCAAGGCTAATAATGAGCGACCAGGCCTTGACGCTGCCTGGGAGAGATTCACAAAATTCAGAAATTCAACAAAGAATACTGCAACTTTCTGGAGGAGTGCCCATCGGTGCCCCATGCGCCCCCTCAGGCCGAACAGTGGACATTGGCACTTTGCGGGAAAACGGCTGTCTAGGCAGCCGGTCAGCCAGTGCCGGCTCCACAGGCCCGCAGGTCGGGCTGAGCAGCAGCTGCAGAGCCTTCCTGCAGAGAGCGAACCCCACAGAGCCACGAGGAAGAAATGACAAGGCACAAAACACGTCAGAGTTGCCACAGTGAGACTCTTTAAATGGACATGAGACTCGGCATGACGGGAGGGCCACTCCGAACCTCATGGGATGGGAGGGGAGAGCAGGCGGTTGGACAGAACTGGGTAGTTGGGGATGAGGGAAAGCCCGAGGTGAGGGGTGTGTAACGCATGTGTGACGTGTGATCTGGACATGACCAGTCTGACCTGGCATCTGGACAGTGTGGAGTTGGCACGTAGGACCTTGGTCACAGTGGTCATCGGAAGACCAAGACCACAGTGTCCGTGCAGAAAAGGGGTGACGAAGGCTGACGGGACCCTGTGTCCCCGGTGGAGGCCTGGCCAGCAGAACGGCGGGGCTGGCCCAGGGCCGCGTCAGCCCCGGGACGGTTACACAGAAAAGCAGAGGGACAGGCCTGCATGGCGGCCCGTCACTCCTCCTGGACAGAAGCTGGCCCCGGGGGCTCCCTGGTGCCCTCACCCACAGACATGGGAGCCTCCGCCTTCCCTCTCTGGAGACGGGGCCCACGCATCGCACCTTGGCCTCAGCCAGCTGCGTGGGAGCGTGGAAGACGCCGTGACGACCGCTCCCATCCCTCCAGCGAGCTCAGTACCACTCACAATGGCTGCATGGGGTGACGCCCACTGGTGGTGGCGAGGGCGCCCCTAAATGGGGCTCTGGCACCGATGAAAGAGGGGTGGGTCCAGCAACCCCACGGTCCGTTCAGGGGTACTGCCCTGACCCAGGTCCTGGGCAAGCAGGGAGGCAGCAGGAGGCATGGGGACAGTGCTGCGGAGCAGGCGGTCCCGGGACACACTGGGGTGGCGGTCACGTGAGGAGAGGGCAGGACAGTGGGCAAAAGGGACAGTGGGCCTGTGGTCAGTAGGGAGAGATGGCTATGCACAACTTCCCCCCACACCCCCAACCCCATCCTGGAGTCACGTCCTGCCAGTGCCTAGTGGCGCAGGTGAGTGACCAGCATCCCCCCTGCCTGCAGGTACTGGCTCCGTGGGGCCCGTGCGGCCACCTGTCTGCTCTCAGGCAGCGACGTCGCATGGGACAGGGAGGCGCCAACCTGCGAGCGTGAGTCAAAGTTTCCCCACGATCCCCTTGCCTGGGGCCATCACGGAGACATGGAAAAGGGAGCCCCAACACTGGCAGTCCTCCCGGCTGCTGCATGGGGGGCGGTTTACCTGAAACGGGGGCCTCACATTCAGGCAGAAGTCCAGCTGGCCAGGCCGCTCTGTGGCAGAGAGATCATTTCCCAGGGAGCAGGCTCTGAGGCCACCAGAGATAGACCTGCTGCTCCCAAGTACCGGGACCATGCCTCCCCCTCCTTCTCTCTGGGTGCAGGAACCTAAACTTCTTCAGTTCTCCCCGAACTTCTGGCCCCTCTGTGTGTCATTCTTTTTTAAAAAGATGATATGTTTATTTATGCATACAAGAGCTGGGGTGCAGGCCAGAGGTGAGGGGATGATAGGGTTCACCAGAGACAGAATGGGGAGCAGAACAGGCATATTCACTGAAATCCACTGCTGAGGGGAGCAGCGGGGAGACAGGAGAGGTCTGCTGCGTCATGTGGGTCAGGTCCCTGGCCCGGGATGGAATTCGTGCTGCAGAGGCTGTGGAGACATTCACAGTGCTGAGTCCTAACCCCTTGTGCCACCAGGGAGGCGCCTCTCTGCATCTCATTCTTCTCTCCAATTCTCCAAGGCTCCAGCCTGGGTTGTGCTAGCTGACTAGTAGACCCCTAATCCTCATGGGGTGCCCAGAGTGATAGTGATCCCCTAGCTCGCAGGACCGCAGGCTGTGCAGAGATCCTGAGCTGCACAATAGAGGGGGGCGGGTCCTCGGAAAGGGCAGGAAAGCCAAGGGCAGGCATGCAGGAACCCCGCCCCCCTCCAGACAGTCCATGGAGCAGGGTGGAGCCTCCCAGGAGGGGCGCAGGGCGGCTTCCCTCTTCTGTGAGGGTGCCAAGTGATGCCTCATCCGCTGGGAAACAGGGAGTGGAGGAAACTGGCTCTTTTAGGCCCTGACTGGGCGCAGGCAGACAGGGATGCTGTGCCCCACGTGGCAGAGTGCGCATAGAGGTGCGGGACTTGGGGACGTCTGCCATGGCTGTTGGTCACCATGTGGGATGGTCCAGGATGCGAGCCTGAACACACTGGCATGTGTGCGTGGTGTCTGCAGAGTGCAGACTGTCTTGGTGGGGGGGTGCTACTTTAGGGCCATTACCATTTCCTAGATTCCCTGGAACACGGGGTTCACTGTGCTCACAGAACCACTCTGCGCTGAAGGCCCAAGAGCAGAGTGCCAGCTCTACGGTGCCGACCTCCCCGGTCAGAATCCCTGAAAAAATTCAAAGTAGCCAGGCCATGCCCTGACCATGTCCCAACTCAGGCTCTGAGTGCCCGCATCTACCCCAGAGGATGTGTGAACCAGGGGCCACGGCCAGGGCTTTGGAAACTGATGACAGCACTGTCCAGTTCATCTGCCCTCAACATGGTTCCTTTCTCTCCAGCCACCCTGTCATCCCCTTGCTCCTGGGGCCGGCATGGCACTGGTGTAGCTTGCTCAAGAGGGACAGTGACATGTAGCCATGCCTACCCGCAGGCCGCCCGGGGCCCCGGCTGCACGGGTGCCTTGATGGGACCTTCCGGATGCTGAAGCACTTGTGTCCCCATAGGGATCTTCTGTGCAGCCCCACCAGCCATCAAGCACGGGACCCACTCTGGAGGACACACCAGGGCCTTTCCCTATGGAGTGACCGTCAGCTACACCTGTGACCCCTACCCTGAGGGGGGCCCGGCCTGGGAGCTCAAAGGGCAGAGTGTCCTGCACTGCATGAGTGACACTCATGGCCATGGGGTCTGGAGCGGCCCTGGCCCCCGCTGCGAGCTCACAGATCCTGCTGGTCAGTGCCCCTTGTACAGTGGCCTGGGCGCAGCCACCTGTCCCATGTGTCCCTCCTGCTGGGTCGTGGCTATGTGCAGTTTGGAGGCACCCACAGGGGTCAGGTTGTTCAGAGTTGCAGGCCCAGTCCTGGGGGGGGCCTCTCAGACCCTTCCCACTGGGGAGTATAGGAGTGGGGGGGGCCGGAGGCCCAGGTGGTCTGGCTGTTCTCCCAGAGCCCAGAAGCAAAGCTCAGGCCCTCACTGCCACTTTGGGGAGGTGTCCTGGCCCAGAGGGGCTGAGCAGCGCCCACAGGCTGAGGGTGGTAGGGGCCAGGCCAGGCATCGAGTCCAGGCCCCCAAGTGCACTGGGCCTGCGCTGAAGCCCTGGGCTCCCTCAGCTGGCAGAGCTGGGAGATGGAGAGGCCCAGAGACTGCCCTGGCCTGGGGTCCCCGCACATGGGTCCCTGAGGCTCAGCAGGGGTGCTCCCCGCTGGTGTGTGCAGCTAGAGGACATGCAGGGCCAGGAGGAGGCTGGCAGGCAGGACCTGCCCTCTTAGGGCCCCCTGCACTCGGTGCTGGTGCCTCACGGGGTCCAGAGAGGGAAGGGTGGGGTTGACTCGCCCTCCTGGCATCTAAGCGTCCTTCCTTGTGTTTGGGGAGACAGAATGCCCACAGCCTCCTGAGACCCCCCATGGGCAGCTGGTGGACACGCATGGCTCTCCACACCGCCCCGGGATGGTGGTCACTTACACATGTGACCCGGGGTACCTGCTGGTGGGCCAGGCCTTCGTTTTCTGCACACACAGGGGCACCTGGAGCCCTCTGGCCCACCACTGCCAAGGTGTGTACAGCTCCTCCTCTCTGCTGTGGGGGTGGGGGCTGCATGGATTGGGGAGCCTGAATTCCCAATCTGGGGGGGCGGTGGACGAGCAGGACCAGGCAGGAGGTGGCGGCCCTGGACCTCAGTCACCCTAGCAGGTGCGCAGAGGGTGGCCCTCAGGGACAGCTGCGAAGTGTCCGCAGCCTTGTGACAAAGAAGGCCGAGCAGAAGCCCACGGGGCCTGGGCTCCTCCTGCTTGCCCTGGGTTACTGTGAGGACACTGAGGCCCTAGTTCTGCGGGCTCGTCCTCCAGGCCTCCGAAGACAACCCGCTCTCCTGAGGGCCCCTTAGGACTCCTCAACCGTGAGGGTTATCTCCCAGTAGGGGATGTCACACACGTCCTTGGGCTGGTCTTAGCACTGGTTGTGACGTGGCTGCCAGCTCTCTGAGGAGGTCCCGGAACCATGCCTGGTCTGGCTCTGACATTGACCCCTGTGTCTACTGTCTCCTTGTAAATGGCATTTTCTCCACTTTGCAGACATAAGTGAGTCTTACCTTGTTTGCTTCCTTTGAAGAAATCCGGGTGAAGGGCAGGGATGGGCAGCAGGAGTCAGAGGCTCAGGAACTGGGGCGGTTGTCCTGTGGTCGCCCTGGTCGCAGGGTGGCCCTGAAGGTCTGGGCAGTCTGGTCCCCTGGCCCTCTGGGTTGGGACCTGGATACCAGGAGGCCGGCTTGGGTGTGTCCGCTAGGTTGGACACGCTGACCAGCTCCCTGTGGGCCTCCCAGCTGCAGGCAGAGACACCTGAGGTTCGGGGACCACCAGGGCCCACCTCCATTCAGCTGTAAGGGCTCCGGAAAATGAGTGGTTTCTGTTCTCTGCAGCTGCTTCCACACAGTGTAGCTCTGTCCTCAGTCTGCACTCTCAGCCCACCCATGGTCCTGCCCCCACCCCCGCCGCCCCCATCAACTGGGGCTGGTCACCCCACAGAGTCTCAGGCTCTTCCCCCAAGGCCTGTTGTCTGGACCTGGGGCTGCAGGGCCCCAAAGTCTTCTAACGAGCCCTGAGGGTGTCTGGAGGCCCAGGGCTGTGCTCTGAGCCACGGTGACAAGAGCAGCACTTGCATGGCCAGCAGAGTGGGTGAGCTTGCTGGGCTCAGCAGTCAGTCAGGATGGCTCACGCCATCTCTGCCCTGAGTTCTGCCAGGAGCAGGACATGACGGAGCCTACTGCAGAGTTCTGGCACCTGCAGTTTGCTGTGAGCTGGGCCTAGGCTGCCGCAGTGTGGGAAAGACCCAGCCCCCACCCCCAGCCAGCACAGGACCTGGCCCTGACCCCGGCCGCAGCTCGAGGGGCACTTTCGTCCCTCTTGTGCTGGGTCCCTGCCTGCACAGGCAGCGCTCGCCCTTGACAGGAGCGGCCGTCTCGCCGGGCAGCTGGGTGTCCTACAGCTTCCCGCGCAGGGTCCAAGCCCCACAAACGGGGTCATCTGCCTCCTGCCTGCCCTTGCAGAGGTGAACTGCAGCCTCCCGCAGCTCCTGGAGGGCATCCGGCTGGAAGGGGGGGGCACGTACCGCTATGGAGACAGCGTCACGGTGGCCTGCAAGGACGGCTACACACTGGAGGGTAGCCCCCAGAGCCAGTGCCAGGCGAACCACACCTGGGCGCCCCCGCTGGCCGTCTGCACACCCCGTGAGTACAGGTGCAGGGAGTGGGCCTGCACCTCACTGTTCCAGGCGTGGTGGGCGCTCAGGGGCGAGGAGGCCGGACTGCCCAGAAGTCCCTAGCAAGTAGGGTTAGAGCAGGCAGCAACACTCCCCCACCCCACCCCTGTTGGGGCCCTGGGAGCTGTCTGTGCCCCTGCACCCGCTGCAGCCTGGCACAGGGGCTGGGCCTGTGGGGCAGTGCCATGAGCCCCAGCACCCTGCTGAAGAGCCTCGGGCGCTGAGCGGGCACGGGGCCCTGGTTAGAGACCTGGTATCCTGAGTTCTGTGCAGAGAGCCACAGGTGGGGGAGACAAGAGGCCCGGGGAGGAGTGAAACGAGGGTCCAGGCGCGGGCCGTGGCGAGGCAGCCATGACCCACAGCCTCCACGGCTCTGCTCAGAATCAGGCAGACACACAGAAACACATGCAGAGATGGAGGACACTCTGAAAGGGAGCGTGGGTTGAGGGTGGACTCCTCTCTGAGCTGTAGTGAACTGTCCTGCTGTTAGTAGTCATGCTCATGGCAAAACATGAAGGTAGGAAGGACAAGGTCCCACCTGTGTAGGGTGAGGTCAAGGGAAGCAGAAGACAATTCAGGACACTGGAGACTGGGTAAGCTGGGGGATGCCGCCGGTGCCAGCCACTGTTGAGCTCTGGCTCTTGTCTCCTGCAGGCCTCCCAGTGGCCCTCATAGCCGGTAAGTCCTGCGGGGTTGCTGAGAATGCTGGGACCTCACCTGGTAAGTCCACTTGGGATGGGTGAGATGGAAAGGGGGGCAAAGAGCTTGCCAGGAATCCAGCTGAGAAGTGGCAAGCATGGCCCTAGTGGCGGGCGCGGTGGGCACAGTAGGCACGGTGGGCACGGCACCCCAGAGTACGAGTCACCATCTGGTCTACCACCCCGGCCCCAGCCCTGGCCCTGGCCCCTGCCCACTGTCAGGGTGCGAGTATCAGCTCGCACCCCGAGGGCAACGCACCTTGGGAGGCTCGAGAGCCCAGCTCTCACTGCAGTGAGCGGTCACTGTCCTGAGGGTCACTGCTTCACCCCACCCCCATGCCTAAGGTCCATTCCTCCCAAATGCACAACAGGGACGACACTCCCTGGTGCCAGGCTCCCCTGGGGCACTGGGCTTGTCCCTGGATAGACTTGGGGACTGCGGGCCCTGAGCCAGTGGGGGTCTCCCCTGCCAGGAGGGTGTCGGCCAGGGCGCTGGACCTACCGCATCAGAGGCACTTAGGGAGGCCACTGCCCAGGAGGAACAGTCCCTGGCACAGGCCAGCGGGGACATGCTCCCCGGAGGGAGGTGGGCCCTGGCAGCTGGTCTCACCTGTCTGACCAAGGATTGGGCAGCCCGTGGTGAGCCTGAGCCCCGCTGACCAGAGCAGAGGGGCCCTGCCAGGCGGGCGGGTGACAGGGTCTACGGCCCGTGAGGGGTGGGGGGCCGAGGGCCGTTCTGTCCTCCCTGCACTGACACCCGTTTTCTCCTAGGCTTGTGCCTCATCGCCCTCGTGCCCCTCGTCACCACTGCAGTTTCCTGCTGGGTGATTGTAAAGTGCAGAAAGAGGTGAGTATAGCCGCACATCTGGAACATTCCAGAGCTGAGCTTGCCTCCCCTTGGAGCCAACGTAAAGGGGACCCAGAGGAAAGCTGCGGCCTGCGTGTGCCATGGGGGTGTGAGGGCCACTCTGCAGGCCAGCACCCCGGGAGGGACTCGACTGTCGCCAGACAAAACAGGCAGGAGGGCTGTTCCCAGAGCTGGGGCCACTGCCGGACAGCCGAGTCTCAGTGGGGCACATGGTTGAGGGTCCATGAGCACCATGTGCTCTTGGCCTGCCCAAGGTCTGCAGGCTCAGGGCAAAGAGGCACTTGGGACTAGGCGAGGACACCCGCCCGCACTGGGGCCCTGGGGTGCCCGGGGCTGGGCATGTGGTGGAGGGGCAGGGTGTGGGTGGAGGGGTGGGGCGTGGGTGGAGGGGCAGGGTTTGAGGCAGGATGTGGGTATGGGGTGGGCCATAGGGTGGAGGGGCCGGGTGGAGGGGAGTGGGATGGGGGGGAATGGTGGGGCCCAAGCTGAGGCTCCACCCTGGTGCCAGTGGCCATAGGGGAATCACCCCTCCAGAGCTGGCATCCAGGCTACCCTATAGCCCACAGTGACGCTGGACATCTCAGACACAGTGTCTGCAAAGCAGACTTGCACAGCAGAGGTTCTGGCCAATGGGGTCACCCCCCACTGTACTCCTCTGCTCCCCCCACCTCCCCCTCAAGGTCTCCCTTACTCCCCCTGTGTCCTCTCCTGCTGCCCCCCACATCCCGTCCCCTGTCTCCCACATCCCCTCCCCTGCCTCTCACATCCCCTCCCCACACTGGCCTCCCCTGCTCCCCCTGTGTCCCCTCCCACTCACCCCCACATCCTCTCCCCTGCCCCCCACATCATCTCCCCTGCATGCCCTCCCCACCAAGGTCTCCCATGCTTCTCCTGCATCCCCTCCCCCAGCTCCCCCATATCCCCTAACCCTGCCCCCATCCCCTCTCTCTCCTCTGCTCCCCCATCCCCTCCCCCTGCCTCACACATCCCCTCCCCCTGCTCCCCCGCATGCCTCCCCCCAAGTCTCCCCTGCGCCCCTGCACCCCCTCCCACTGCCCCTCCACATCCCCTACCCCTGACCCCTGCATCTTCTTCCCCTGTTCCTCCCACATCCCCTCTCAGCTCCCCCATCTTCTCCCCCTGTACCCCACTCCCCTCCCCCATGCTGGTCACTGCAGATGGGGCTGGTGCCCCCTGCCTGGTGTTGCCCTGCCCTTCCCCTGCTCTACCCCTCTGCTGGGCTGGCAGGTAGGTTTTGTCCTTGTCCTTGACTTCACGTTGCACCGCCCCTTGAGTTTCCCTCATTTGGCTGCAAACTGCAGATGTTCGCCTTTGCTGCAGCTGGGTAGTGTTCCACGGCTGTGGCGGCCCGCCTTCATCTGCCCATCCGCGGGCACCTGGGCTGCCCCACAGCGTAGCCCCTGTGGGGAGCGTGGCAAAGGCCAAGGGCCTCATCTCGTGGATGGAGAAGGTTCTCCTGGGCGGCCCAGGGGCTGCGGTGCCTCCACTAACTCTTCAGGAACCTCCTGCTGCTTCCAAAGTGCTCACACCTTTCCCAAGTCCCTCCGGCAGGGCACTGCTCCCCACACCCTGGATTCCTCCCCACACCCTCGAGGTCCTCCCCACACTCTGGGGTCCACCCCATACTCTGGGGTCCTCCCCGCACCTTGGGAGTCCTCCCCACACCCTGGGGGTCCTCCCCGCACCCTCAGGATCCTCCCCAAAACCTTTAAGGTCCACACAGCCAGCGGCCCATTTCTACCTTGTCCCGTGGATGAGGCCGGCTCTAGACATCCCTTCTGAGAACTTATGGCCTCTGGGTGTGAATTCCAGCGTGTGTTTCCCACATGGCTGCTGTGACGGGCCCACTTCAGGGACACCACAGCCAGGCCCCACTCCCTGCTCCGGCCCCTCCCACATCCCTGCAAACCAACCCCAGCCAGAGCACTGCGGCCTGTGCAGCCATGGCCCTGCCATGAGGACAGCCACAGCAGGGAGGCTTTGGGCTCACACATGCTGCCTGCCCCACTGGCAGCCTGGACACCCAGTCAGCCCCATGCACTGGCCCCCCCAGGCTGGGGTTGGCCTGGCCACCGCTGCTGTGGCCCTGCTGCCCCAGATGCCCTGCAGGGAGACGTCGACCTCATCCTGGATTCAGGGTCCCCTTCTGTGCACCTCAGCCCCTGACTCAGCCTTTATCCCATGAGGTGGGGGCCCCCAGTGTCCCCAGAGGGTGTGGTGTGAGGGCCAGGAGTGGCAGTTCTTGGGTGTACCATTTTCCTCGGCCCTTGTCTGGCATCACTGACCCAGGGCTGGGCCACTGCCCCCCTGTGGGGCCTGAATCCTGCTCCCAGGAATGGGAGTCAACTGGGGAAGCCTGATGTTGGGGGCTGCCCCGCTTGTTGGGGTCCCCATGGAAACGGTACAAGGGGTGCTCAGGAGCCACTCACTGTGGCCAGCACGGGTCCCTGATGCCCCAGAGCTGGACTGCGACAATTCCTGCTGGCCTGGGGCCGGGGTGTCTGCCTCTGGAGCTTGGGGCACTGGCACCCGTGTGGAGCAGGCCATGCCCTGCGTCTCCACACAAGCACTGCGTCCACGCCCAAACCTACACGTGGACTTTTCCTGATCTTCCTCCTCTGCTGGTCAGCAGAAACATGGATGAAAAGCATGAAGAAGCGGCGGTCCACTTAGGTGCCTGGAGTGGCGGCGGTGGGTCCCGGGCGGAGGATACGCAGTGGGGCAGCAGGTACCTGATGCTCCTGCCAGGCGCAGGTTGGGATGGCGCCGTGCGGGCTGGATGTAGTGTGGGCAGGAGAGAGGCTGGCGCACCTAGAGGTCACAGCCCCTGCTGACCTTGTGTGGTCAGGCCCACATCACTGTGTCCAGCAGCAGCCCCTGTCTCGGTGCCACGAGAGTTTGGGGAGCAGAAAATTCTTGTTTCTCTGTACATACCATTGGGGGGCCTCCAGTCCCCTACTCCCCTTGTGGGGGTGTCTTCAGGCCCCTGCTTCCCTCATGGGGGACCTGTGGGCTACTGCCTCCTCGTGGGGGCCTCTGGGCCTCCTCCATGCCCACCCCTTTACCTCTCCCCGGGCCACTGCCTCCTGCCTCCCTCCTGCCCCGGCCTTGGCACTCTGGCCAGCCCTTCGCCTTCACTCATCAGAGATGCAGACCCAGGCTGCCACGCAGTAGCAGTCAGTCTGCTATAATGAAGGTATGAGAAGGGCGCCCATGGCCTCACAGGTGGTGGCGGCATAAACATGGGACTACAATCCCCAAAGGAGGACGTGCTTCGGGCTGCCTCACTCCCCATCACAGCCCATCAGGCGTGGGCCCCTGACCTGTAGGCCCAGGGGGTCCTCTCTGCAGCAGTCCCACGTGGGACCACAGGCCAGCCCTCCTGAGCTCTCGCCCACCACGCTTCGTGGCCAGTGGACCAAGTGGGCATATCCTGTCCTCTCAGGGGCTTTCCCTGACGGTGCCCAGGTCAGGCGCCCGGGAAGGCTGCAGCGCCCAACATCCTCAGCTTCGCGCCCCTGCCCCCGCCCCTGCCCCGCCCCCACCATGGAGCCACGCCAAGGCCACTCGCCCAGATGGGGCATCACCAGCGTCTGTGCAGCTCATCCGAGCTTTCGTTTTCAAGGGTTTCCCATGCGTGACGTCCTGACTGGCAGAGTCTAGAACCTGCAGGCAGAGAGTGGGGGGCGAGCCCCACAGTCTGAACACGCTTCTGCTGGCCCAGCGTCAGCTCTCATCTGCACACCCGCCCTCTTCCCCTGGAGTAGGCACAGGGAATGGATGCTTTGCCGGTCCCCACTGTTTCTAGAGGTGAGATTGCTCACTAACAAGGTGTCTGGCAAGGACCTCCCTGGTGACCCAAGGGGTTAGGATGCAGCACTGTGAAGCTATTGGCAGCCACTGCAGCACGAGTTCGATCCCCGGCCAGGGAGCTGACTCACAGGGTGCAGCAGACCTCTCCTGTCTCCTGCTGCTTCCCTCAGCAGTAGAGTTCAGTAGATCCACCTGTTCTGCTCCCCACTCTGTCTCTGGTGAATCTTCTTACCCCCCGCACCTCTGGCCTGCACCTAGTTATTGTATGCATAAATAAATATTTAAAAATAAATAAAATTTAAATTCTGTGATGGAGCTGACATTCATGGGGACTCCAAGCATGCCCCTTTGGGGAGCATGGCCAGGCTGCCCATGCCCCAAGGCGGCCCTGGCATCTCTCCAGGTCCACAACCTCAGGGCGTGCCTTGTGCCCCCTGACCCCTGCAGAGCCTTGCTGACTGACACCCGCAGGCTTGCCTGTGCCAAGGCTGACTTCTGCACGGCCCGTGCCTTTGTTGTAGCTTGTGAAGTGGATTCTGCCTGTTCCCTCGTTGGCCCAGGTGAGACGATGGCAGTGGACTCCAGGACAGCAGCAGCATCGTTGAGTGCAGCACACCTGGGCTGCCGCTGGTCGGTGCTCCACGCCACTCTAGGAACGGTCTTCCTGAGAAACAAAGTTTAAAGAATTAGAAATGACATGATTAAAAATCGGCCACAACATCCATCTGCCAAGGGAGAGGGCCCTCCCAGATGTTGAGAGAGGGCAGCTGCTGGGTACCTGGGGCAAGGCAGGGGAGGCCAGCGGTGCCGTGGGGAACCCGAGGGCCCAGCAGACACGATGCTTTCGTGAGTTTGTGTTTCAGGTGATCCCCTGAGCTCTGGCCAGGGCCCTGGAAGCTGCCTCAGCCAACCCTGTGGGGTCACCTCGCGGCTTTGCATGCGGTGGTGTCAGGCATGAGCTTGGAACTATGTGTGACGCTCAGTGGAATTTTCTGTTTCCACTATCTGAATGTAATCACGGGGTAGAGTGAGTCCCTGTTTACTTTCTGACATTGGCCCCAGCCTGGAGGAACAGGGGTGCCTTGTTCCTTCTGAGAAGCTTCCTCCTGAGGGGTGGGTCTGGAATCCAGATGCAGCTGAATATATGCAGCAGCACCCAGTATGGCCAAGAGGAAGGGTGTCCGGCTGTGCACAGGGGGAGACCTCGCCGGTCTGTGTCCGCTCTACCAGGCCCAGCAGGAACTCGAGCTTCCCAGCCCTTCCTGCTCCACCTGTCTCTGACTCAGCGGCAAGAGTTCTCCCCATTGCTAGACTCAAAGGGCGTGGCCTCCCTTACCGACACCCCGACACCAGCATCCCCTATGCACCTCCACTCCAGACACAGTGCGGACCGTAGCTCATGAGGCAGATGATTTCTTTGGGACGAAGTTGGACCAACTGGTGGTTAAAGTCCCATTCTTAAACTTGAGCGCATCTCCCACATTCCTGCCAATGGTAGGGATGACAAAAGTATGACCTCTGCCTGGCTCCTAATGCTGGCCCTGGGACTTCTTCCCCAGTTACTCTGTGACAACCTACAGACACCTCCGAGGCCCCAACTTCCAGCTTTGTTGGGGGCACTGTGTCTGCTCCACCTGCCCCCTAACCCCCCCATTCTGCATAGTGTAAGGGTCCGAGTAATGCAGGGCCACCACCAAGCTCCCACACAGGGCATTGTCCCAAGGCAGGGGCCCTGATATGGGCGGGCCCTCCATGCGGAAGGCCCGCTCCTAGGCACAGCACCCGTTTCCCCCACAAGCCAGCACTGCTGGCCACCCTGTGAGGCCTGCTGCTCCTCTCAGTGGGGCTGGTGCTCCCACACCCCGACTTTGGGTAGGAGACCAAAGGGCAGGGCAGGCAGAGGTCCGGAGTTGGGTTTGACCGAGAGTGGGGCCAGTGTATGGGCAGCTAGGCTGGTGCTGCCCTGGATGAACAGGCAGACTGAAATACACTGCTGAGGGGAGTAGCGGGTGAGACAGGAGAGGTCTGCTGTGCCATGTGGGCAGCTCCCTGCCTGGGGATTGAACTTGTGCTGCAGTGGCTGCAAATAGCCTCACAGGTTGCATCTTAACCCCTTTTACCACCAGGGAGGCCCCTGAAACCTTTTCTAAATGTATTTTTGTCCTGATTCACTTAGAAAAATGAGTGGGTTGAGCTAACAAAGTGGGGGAAATAAAGCATTACATGGGGGGGGAGGTGCAAGTCTGGAATCTCCAGGCAGCACAAATCCCCAGAGCAGGGCTGAGTAGCCGCGGGGTGGAGGGTGTATGTGGCCAGGCAGATAAGCGACTTGGGTTGGCTGCAGAGGAGGCCCATGTCTGTTATCTGGGGGACCAGCTTTTCTCCCAGACCCGCAGGACCCAGGGCCCGCCCAGCGAAACAAGCGTTGGTGGGAGACAGGTGGGGGGCCGGGACCCTCGGGCATCCAGCAGGGCCTGCCAGGGAGGCTGGGCCTGCGAGGCTTGCCTGCCCCACGGCACTGCCATGGTGGCGCAGGTGGGTCCAGGCACTTGCTGGGCCAGGGCTCTCGAGTCAGCAGTGTCCACCCATGTGGACAGACAGCCCCTCCTTCATGGGAGGTGTGCCCTAATGTGGTGGGTGCCAGCCCCTGAGATTCCAGCCAAGACATAAAGACCAAAGACGGGAGCCAAGCTCGGCCAGGGGAAGGGTCCACCGCCAAGGCTGCGGGGCAGGGGGCTGCCTTGCCCTGCCCAGGGTGTCTCTGCAGGGGCTAGCCTGCCCCCCCCCCATGGCCCTGCTCAACTCTGAGGCAAGGTCACAGCAGGTGGGTGACTCGTGGAGCCCCCCAGGCCCCAGGGTGCTCAAGGAATGCACCGTTCTGGGCGTGGCATTTTATTAACTACTCAGTTGATTCCTCTGCCCAGCAGCCCCCAAGACGGCAGCTTGGCCCCCTGGGCCGTCAGCTCCTCACAGGTCCCTCTGGTCATGTCCCCCACTCTGCTCTGTCCCCCTAGGAGCCCGACAAGCAGGATGCGAGCCCAGCTTCCAGGCTCTCTGGCTGTCCATCAGCCAGGACAGTGGCCCTGCACCCAAGGGGTGCCTCCTGCTCACTGTCTAGTCCTGGAGCAGCTCCTGCTTGCCTAGGGCCGGGGTATCTGCCTCTGTAGCTCGGGACACTGGTGTCCACATGGAGCAGGCTACACCCTGCATCTCCATAGGAACACTGTGTCCACACCCCAAGTCTACATTCTTTTCCTGACTTCTCCTCTGCCAGTCAGCAGAAACACAGGCCTAACAGGTGAAGCAGCAGCAGTCCATGTGGGCCCCGGAGTGGTGGTGGGCCGGGGCCCGGCTGGAGACGTGCAGGGGCTGATCACTTGTTCCTTCGAACCCTGAGGCGTCTCCAGAAAAGCAGCAGGAGAAGCCCTGAAGGGCAGCCTCCAGCAGGCAGCAGCAACCCCCACCCCGTCAGTCAGTATCCCCCTCGGTTCCCACAGCAGCGCGTCCCCATTTGTGCCTCAGTCTGCATGCCCCCACCCTGGTGCACAGGAGTGGGTGCACTGGGCCTTCTGGTCCGCCAGAGCTGGCTTTTCCTGGCTGTGTGTGGAAGCACATGACCGTGCACAGTTCTTCAGAGATTCAGCATTGGGACAGGCTTTTGACGCACACTGGTCAGCTGGCAGGACTCTTTGTCCAGTGGTGCATGTGTGCCCGGTGCAGACAGAGGTCACGAGAGGAAAGGCCATGCTTGGGTGCTCGAGCACCCTCACCTCGGGTGTGAGCCCACGCCCGGCACTGTGGGAGTTCAAGGGGGAGCTCAGCGCACCCAGCACCTGCGGCATAGAGAAAAGTAGCACAGGCAGGGAGGCGATGGCATCTCTCCAACGTCCATTGCAGACTTCCTGACAAGTCCTCCAGCCCTGTGGGCTGTATCTGAGACGCCTGTGCACCTCTCCAAGGACGTCTCCCTCTCAGCTCCAGGCAGAGCCATCTCAGCTGGAGACTCACAGCCCTCCCATCCACACCTTCTTCCTGGTGAGTCTGGAGGGCTGTGCGCTCCTTATCGGAAAGAGGAAACATAATAGAGAAGTCACTGCCATGCACCGGCCCCTAGCCGCTTATGCCTCTGCACACCCACCGCTGGCCTGAGGTGCTCCTGCTGGCAAGCATGGTCCCCCGCTGGAGCCCCAGCCCCGGTACCGAGGCTTCACGCCTGCTGTCTGCTCTGCTGTGACTCTCCCCGACACGCATGCCCTGCACGCACTGAGCTGTCACTGACGAGGGAGCAGCGTGACGCGGTTCCTTCTCCAAGTCACACGGATGTGTGAGGCCACTGAGACATTTCCCAAAACCCGAGCGTAGGCTGGTGTGGACACTAGCCGGGACATTCCTGAGGGTGCGTGTCCCAGTCCCTGCAGCCTTGCCTGCTCAGTGTCTCTCTATCCAGGTGTATCTCAAGCTGCGTATCTCGCTGGAAACCACCGGGTGACCCAATGCCAGTGACACAGGCCTCGCTGGTGGCGCAGCTGTTAAGCACAGCACTATGAAGCTATCCACAGCCTCTGCAGCACAAGTTCGATCCCCGGCCAAGGAGGTGGCCCACAGGGTGCAGCAGACCTCTCCTGTCTCCCTGCTGTTCCCCTCAGCAGTGGATTTTAGTGGATCCACCTGGTCTGCTCCCCATTCTGTCTCTGGGGAATCCTCTCACCCCCTCATAGTTCTTTACCCCAGTTCTTGTGTGTGTAAATAAATAAAAATCTTTAAAAAAAAAAAAAAACAAACTACTTTCCTTCTTCTCAAACTATTTCCTTTTATTGGCCCAGGGAAGTGAGCCTGGCTGTCTTGGCAACATTAGGAGTCTTCACTGCACGTGTCCTGACTTCCCACTACCACTGGGATTGTGAGTGCAGGGCACCCCAGAACTGCGTGAGGGCATGAAACAGGAACGAGGGGCTGTGTCTCTATCCTACCAGATAAGCGTGCCATCTCCCCTCTAGGTGGCACAACTTGGCTTCGCACCTTCTGAGAAAGAACATCACTTGTTATGCAGCTTCCCGGCTGGGTGTGCTCACTGTTGGTTCTCGCAGGTGGAAACACAACTTTGTGGCCTGTGGTTGGTTTTTACAGCCTTAATGGTGAGGCAGGGTATGGGCCGGTTCCTCTTCCCAGCACTTCTCCGGCTGTCGGCTCTGCTCTGGGCCCAGGTGTGCATCATGGGCTGCAGGTGCTGGCCCTGGACGCTCGTGGCAGGAGGGCAGAAAATGCCTGACTCTTGACTCACTTACCCTGCAACTGGGAGGGGACACGTGAGTTGTTGACCAGCAGTGGTGGCAGAGCCGTGGTGTCCACCAAGCACCTCCCATTCACACTTGTGTTGTGAGGACAGACACACTGAGCTGCCCCTCTCCACCCCTGCAAAGCATATGGTCCTGCAGCCCGAGACTGCTGCTCCTCAACCAGCCACAGATTAAACCACTTTCCCTCTTCTCAAACCTTTCCTTCCATTGGACCAAGGCAACAAGTGCTCAGGCAGGAGGGGCAGCCAGTCCCAAGCCAGGATACAGGCACAGCAGCAGAGGGGGCTCCCCTTTGTACGAACAAAGTTTCTTGAAAAGTTCTGCATCATTCCAGGGGCGATGGTTCAAAATTGTTCAAGGGAAACACCAGAGGAATTATTATGCTTTGGGGATTTCCTAAGCTCTATGTCAAAAGCACTTTGTACTGGGTGATGACAAAATACTAAAAGGAACTTTACAATGGGACTGGATTCAGAACACACAGAATTCAGAGTCACGACTTCTTAGAATGGCTCAAATTACTGAAATGTGTTGACACTTTCTGAAGTCACGTTCTTAAACTCGAACGTGTCTCTGACATTTCTGCCCTTTGTATTATATCCCATGGGGCCTCCCTGGTGGCGCAGCGGTTGAGCGCTGGGTTGCAAAGCTGCCGGCAGCCTCTGCAGCGCCAGTTCGATCCCCGGCTGCTCCCCGGCCACCAGAGGAGGGCCCCACATGGCGCACAGACCTCTCCTGCCGCCCGCTGCTCCCCTCAGCAGTGTACTTCGGTCCTTCTGCCTGCTCTGCTCCCCGCTCTGGCTCTGGTGAATTCTCTCACCCTCCCGCGCTTCTGACTGTACCCAGTGCTTGTATAAATAAATAAATAAATAAATCTTTAAAAAAAAAAAAAATGTATTATATCCCAGGGCATCTGCCTGGCTCCTAGCATGGGTCCTGGGACTTCCCCAGTTCCCCTGTGACAACCTACAGACACCTCCGTGGCCCCCCCTTCCAGCCTTGTTGGGGGGACTGTGTCTGCGCCACCTGCGCCCTCCCGGCCCCGACCTGCGCCCTCCCGGCCCCGTCCTGCGCCCAGTGTAAGGGTGCCGTGGCCCTTCCGCACACACTGCACCCTGCCGGGGCACCCGGCCGGCGGGAGGCGGGGCCCTGCGCACCTTCCGGCTGCGCCCGCCCCGCCCCCGGCCCCGCCCCGCCCCATTTGTGACCCGCCGCCCCCTTTGTGGCCCCGCCCAGCGGTCGAGGAAGCGCGGACGCTTGGCGGCGGCCTCACTTCGCCGGCCTGTCGTTGGGGACTGAGCTCCGCGCCCGCTCGAGCGACGCGCCCGGCCGCGTCCGGGACCCCCGAGCCGCTCGCCTGCCGCCCCGGGCGCCCAGCCCGCGTCCTCCATGCCCGCGCCGGCCCGCCGGCTCGCCGGGGCCCTGGCGCTGGCGCTGGCGCTGCTGCTGCCGCGACGCTCTGGTAGGCGGCCGGGCCGGGCCGGGCCGAGCTGGGGCCCTGCGGGCGCCGGGGTCGCGGGGCCGCGCGCAGGTGCGCGAACGGGAGTGCCGGGGTGGGGGCCGGCCTGGGTGCGGGCGCCCTCGGGAGTGGGGCGCGCCGCCGGCTCCGGCCCTGTGGTGCGGGGGAGCCGCTCCTCGCCCGGCCCCACCCTGGTGGCGGATTCCGAGAAGGGCTGCGCCGCCCTTCCTGCCCGGGGCGGCTCCTCTCGCTGGGAAGGGGAAGCGGCCTCGGAAACCCTGGTGGCCGAAGCCGGAGGCCGCTCCCTGCGGTGGCTGAGGACTCACTGGGCGCAGTAAACACCTTTAAGATGCAGACGAGGACGATCTTGTTGTATAAAATGGCCCCACCGCAGGACACCGCCCTTCGTGCTCGCTTTTGCTCTGTGTAGTCAGCCGCGTCTGTCTCCCCTCCTCACCCCACAGGCCTCGGGGCGCCTTGTCTGAGGTTTTGATGTTTGCCTTTGCTGTGGCTGTGTCCGCGTGGCTCGCTGTCTGCCTGGCCCCTCTGGCTCCGGTGCCTCATTCTCTCCAACTCTTTCGGTTTTGTAAATGGCAACAGTTTCTTTTTCCTTAGGACAATAAAAGTCCACCTCTAGGGATGGATGGAGGCACCCTCTTGACCCAGCCCTCGGCCAGTTTCGGGTCCAGCTTTTGTTGCTGAGGCTGCAGTAAACGCTGCAGAGCAGGTGATTTTTCTTTAGTGGATTGTGGCTGCACCCCAGCTGGAGGGCCAGGAGGGGGCAGGAGGGCCTGGCTGGGCGGGCAGTGTTCCTGTTTTCAGTTTTTAGAGGTAAACACAGGTCACTTTCCCAAATCACTGTTCTGCTCCCCAGTGCGGCTGGCCCCCCTTTCTCTACATACCCTCCAGCCCCTGTGGTGGGGTCTCCAGGCCCACAGGTGTGAACGGTCTCCTGGGCTGGCCTGTCTCTTTGGCTGAAAACAACGATGAACGCTTTTCCTTGTAGCTGTTGTTCTCCTTGGTACATGGGCCAGCTGGTGCCCATCTTAAGCACGGGTGGGAGTGACCACAGGTGCTGCTGTTGGTGTCATTCTGGCTGCCCGCAGGACGCTGGCATGGCACCTTGAGACTGGGCAGAGAGCGTTGCTAGTCCTGTTCATTTGGTTTTTCTGTTGTAAAATGAAACTGGCCAGCCAATATTCATAAAAGTGGATGTTGCTGATGGAATTCGGCTCTTTCATTGCTCACACAGCGCTGACCACTGCCGCTTTGGCCTCTGGTTTCTTCTGGGAGGCTGTGGGCAGTTGCGTGGGCACTGCAATTAGCAGGGTGGAATGCGGGCCAGTGCGCAGAGGCGGCTGGGAGGAAGTTTGCACAGAGGGTTCTAGAAGCAGAAGGGGAAGGAGAGCAGCTCTGTGCTTGGAGCTCTCTGATCAGCTGGTGCCTGGAGTGAGGCCAAGGTGGGTGCAGGGAGGACACAGCCCCCACCCGGCACTGGCCGCCCTGGGCACAGTGTCTGGTGGACTCCTGGACGATGTGCATCTGCATCCTGACCTCACATACTGCTGTGACAGAGCTCTTGGGTTTCCAAGCCCACAGTAATTAACAGGAGTCACAGTTGCTGACATAGGAGTGACACCAATCTCTGGAGAATGTGCCCCAGAAAGCCTCAGAAGCAGAACATAAAACAGCCACTGTCCTGGGGCGGTTGGGCTGGCCAGGGCACTGGGGCCCAGAGCGCGGCGGCCCTGAGCCCAGGCAGCAGTGTGTCCTGGGACCTCCAGCTGGTTGCCTCCCAGAGGAGACCAGGGCTGAGGTGGAGGGCACGGGGGTGGTGTCTGAGCAGGGCGCCTGGGCGTGGGAGGCTTCCCGAGTGGGGGGGGGGGTCTGGATGTGAACGTAGTGGGCAGTGGGGGACGAGGTTGGACATTACTGTGCTGTCTTTTCAGCTCACTGCCCGGTGGGCTTGTTCCCAAGAGCCCAGAGCTGCGAGTTGGTCCCTGAGGTGGGCGGGGCCGTCCTTGGTTGCGGTGGGAAGTGCGGAGCAGGCTGGGTCCCACCGCCATGCTGTGACATGCCTGCTGGCCAGAGGGGAGACTCCAGACTTGCCTGTTCTCACTCCCAGGTGCCTGCGACGATCTCCCGAAATTCCAGTCTATGAAGGTAAAGGGCACCCCTAAGACCTCCTACAGCCCTGGGGAGCAGGTGGCATACGAATGTCGGCCTGGCTACCGGCACAAGAGCAGCAGCGGTGACATCCTGGTGACCTGCAGCGCCGATGGCACGTGGAACATGCCGCAGGAGGCCTGTGTCAGTGAGTGGCCGTGCCAGGCTTCAGAGGGCTCGGGGGTGTTTCCTGCTGCCAGTTTTCTGGGGTTGTGGTGTTCGGGGGTACTGTATTTTTGTCAGACTTCGAAATCTCTAGGGCGCCTTCTTCCCGGCAGAGGGTGGCCGGGGTAAACGCGACCCTTAATGCCCCTGATTGTGTGGACAGGGTGACCCACCCATGCCCTCAAGAGGGCCATGAGGGGCTTTGCTTTGACCCCAGTTGAAGTTGGCCTGGAACAGTGAAGTTGAAAATTTCTTTTAGAAAAATCGTGTAGAAACCCAGGAGATCCGCTGAACGGCAGGATCATCACCGGGGAGGGGAACTTCGACTTCGGCGCCAGCATCACCTACACCTGCAACGAGGGGTGAGGGCTGCGTCTGCCAGCTGGCCCACGCGCGTTCCCGTTCTTTCCTGGCGTCCACTCTATCCCAGGCTGTGCCACCGCCTGATTCCTGGGGCTTTTCACGGAGACTGCGAGATATGTTAGTAATAGAAATTTAAGTTGAGGGAAGGCAGGTTGTATGTAACAAGCTTATGTATTCAAAATGCAGTCATTCTAGTGACTTTCCTCGGGGACAGTGTTCCCTTTTTCCAATTGCGGGAGGTTGGGATCAGGGCGGGAGCAGGGTCCCCTGGCAGGATGTGAGGGCCGCATTGTCCATGGGCCGCGCTGCCATGTCTGTCAGAATCTCGTGGCTGGAAAAGCCTTTTACAAGCAAGTGACGCAGCCCAGACCCCGAGTGCCTGGCTCCTCTGTCCTGAGCGCTGTCAGTGATGCATCCTGGCGACGCTGAAGGTTGGTGGCAAATGTGCATTGAGAGGAGAAACGCGGTGCGCTGGAGGGACCCAGCTTGCAGTCCCGCTGAGTGTGTGTATCAGTTCATGCACCAAGCGTGTGTCATCCAGGGTCCCCGCAGGCGAGGCCGTGCCACCTGCGAACAGCGGTGGCTTCTCCCTTAACAATCTGTACCTGGAAATCTGTTCCTGTTATAAACCAGTTTACTTCAGTGAAACAAAAAGCAAAAACTGAAAAACTTTGCTTCAGAAAATAAATCAATCTGAAGTCGCCTGTGATCTAACAACAGAAAAGATGCTCCCTCAGCTGCTGTCGTGCGGGAGACATACCTGCTTTCTCCCTGCCATGTTCCGAGACCAAGTGACCCTTTCTTTTCTCATTTAGTTTCCGCTTACTTGGTGAGAAAACGCTGCATTGTCAGCTCTCTGGGAATCAGCTGGACTGGGACGAGATCCCCCCTATCTGTGAAAGTAAGTGTGTCTTTGGGAGCAGGCAGCAGCACAGCCCTAGTGCAAGGCCCTTTTGCTTTCAATAAGGACCCCAGAGAGCGTTGCTTTATGCGAGATATTTCTGTTGCCGTTCGTTAGCTTGGAATTAAAACTTAGAAGTTTGAAAGATAATTACCTGTTCCTTTTTAAGATCAGTAGCCTCGATCTGTGCAAACATCTACAGTACTTTTTTTTTTTTTTTTAAAGATGTATTTATTTGTTTATACAAGCACTGGGTACAGTCAGAAGCGTGGGAGGGTGAGAGAGTTCACCAGAGCCAGAGTGGGGAACAGAACAGGCAGACTGACGAAATACACTGCTGAGGGGATCGGCGGGCGCGGCAGGAGAGGTCTGTCGTGCCATGTGGGACTCTGCCAGCGGCCAGGAATTGAACTGGCACTGCAGAGGCTGCAGGCAGCTTCACAGCCCAGCTCTCATCCGCTGCGCCTCCAGGGGAGACCCTACAGTACTTTTTTAATGAAACATAAAAACTTGGGCCTCCCTGGTGGCACAAGGGGTTAAGCATAGCACTGTGAAGCTATCCACAGTCTCTACAGCATGAGTTCGATCCCCAGCCAGGGAACTGATCCACAAGGCGCAGCAGACCTCTCCTGTCTCCCCGCTGCTCCCCTCAGCAGTATGTTTCAGTAGATCTGCTTGTTCTGCTCCCTACTCTGTCTCTGGTGAATCCTCTCACCCCCTGCACCTCTGGTCTGTGCCCCAGTTCTTGTATGCACAAACAAGTATTTAGAAAGAAAGTAAAAGCTTTCAAAAACAAATACTGAGACCGGCCACCCCGCCCCCATTCCTGCACATCTCGTGACCCACTTGAGGGGAAGGCGCGGGCGCTGTGTGGCCATGTCACGCAGTTGCCGGCCTGGGGCCTGTGCTGAACACTAATGAGAATGGAAGCATGAGGAGATGGTGTCTTCTCCTGCCAGTGGGGCGATGAGGCACATACAGATTGTATGCACGTCTCACCTCTGCTTTCATCTCTGACCATGAGCACACTCATTGTTACACTGGCCGCTTCTCTGACGAGGAGAAAGCAGTGCTGCCTCATAGAGCGAGGGCTCCTCGTGAGTGCTCTGGATAGAGCTTTAAGAAAATGAGTTTTATTCTGAAATTCTGTGTCTACGCTCCCCATGTGAGCTGGGGCGATTCTCTCTCTCCTCGGCACTCTCTGCTGGCTAGATGGGCCATAGCCGTCCGCACACCCCATGCCAGGACATGCTCCGGACTTGCTGGTGCAGCCTCGTCCCTTCCCTGGTGCTCACATGTTCTCTCTCTTCCTTTTTTAAGAGATTTTGTGTAAACCACCTCCAGCAATAGCAAATGGAAGATACTCCAACAGCGAGAAGGACACATTCAGCTACCAGGAGTTCGTGACCTACAGCTGTAACCCTTCCGGTGGGCAGGACAAGTTCTCCCTGGTAGGGGAGAGCAGACTTATCTGCTCCGGCAGCGGGGAGTGGAGCAGCGCACCTCCAGAGTGCAGAGGTAACTCACCTGTCCTGCGCCTGGCACCCGTGGGCACTCCCGGCAGCGTCCTGGCCCCTGTGTGTGTCACACACAGTGGCTGGCATGTGGGAGGGTGAGCTTGTGCGCTCACCATGCGGTGCCACCACACGGTCTGACGCATGGCTCTGCAGGCCTGGCCCGTGCTTGGGTGGCGGAGGGGACAAGTGCAGGCTGTGCCCGCGGTGCTGTGGGCTGGTGGTGGCCGCCAACTCTCCTGCCCTGGTGCTCTGGGGGAGGGGGAGGGGAGCCTCGAGAGCTATTTGGACCAGTGAGGACAAAACATGATCCAAATTGGATCCCAAACAGCAAGCCCACAGGTCCAAGAAGTGAATTCAGTGACCTGGCGGGGTAATTGTATAAAATATATCAAAAACTAGACACATCATGGGGTAAACTATCAAAAACAAAAGATAAAAAGCAGCCGAGAGAGAACGCGGCCCCATCCCTCCCCGCCGCCCCAAACAGGAACAGCAGCCGTGCCTTGTCTAGAACCCTGGGCATGGCACGGCTCAGCCCCTCTTGGGCCTCCCTCGGGAGAAGGCACTTGAGCTGGAGGCCGAGTAGTCTTTTCAGAGTAGGCATGCCGGGCCCTGTGTCACTCCCTGACCTTCACAGGGGAGTGCTAGGACATCCTTGGATGGAGGGGTGCTGCCTGCCGGACGTGTCCCAGCTGTGCTGGCAGGCAGGCCTCCATCCTCCTCTGCCCACTGCTCGGACTCAACCTTCTTGCCACGCCCATTTCTGTTTGTTCGTTTCCAAATTCTTCCAGCCTGTGACTGGATCCTGTTACCAGCCCAGAAGGCTGTGGGGTGAAGGGCAGCAGCTGAGCCCCCTGGTTGAAGGTGTTGAAGGGGCTCAGCCCAGGCTATGAGCTGAAGCAGGACGCCCCGCCTGTAGGCTTCAGATACCCACCCTCCCCTGTCCCAGGAGTCCCCAAGGCAGGTGCCCCCGGGGTGCCATGCCTCCAGCTGCCCACCCGGTTGGCCCATGCCCGCCCTGCTCATGCTGCTCACTCCGGGTGAGCATAGGTGACAGCAGTGGGCACCTCTTCCCTAGCAGCCAGTATCAGTTGACATCGAAGGCACCTGGTACTAAAGTGTCTCCAAGTGGGTCACAGGCCCCGCTGGGCATCTTCGTAGCCACGGCATTCCAGACACCTGTCGGTGCGGGAGAACGCAGCCAACCCAGGGGTCCAGCCTGTTCTGGAAAGCTGCTAGAGTTTTCTAAATCTGTTTGCCTGAGGCTAAAATGTATACCCATCAAGTTTTCTTTTTAAATTAACATACTGCCCTTGAAGGAGTCAGGGGGCTACTTCCTCTGACCCCTTGTTCATGAGATTTCCATTAATTGTGACATTTCTTCCCCCTCCAGTGGTCAAATGCCCGTTCCCAGTGCTTGAAAATGGATTCATTGTGTCAGGGATGGCAAAGAAGTTCTACTACAAGGCGCAGGTTGAGCTGGCCTGCAACTCCGGCTTCCACCTCTCTGGGGCCAGTGAGATCCAGTGCAGCGCCAACAGCACCTGGGATCCCACCATGCCCCAGTGCATCCACGGTATGTGGTCTGGTCAGGTCGGGGCGGCTGGCCAGACAGCCAGACGTGGGGCGCTGGCCGCACTGCTCTTGGATGGGGGACCCTCCTCCATAGGCCGTTGTGGGAGAGGGGGCTGGTGACCCCTCTTCATAGTAAGTCGGGGCCTGAGAACTTCAGGGAGATGGGCCAGGAACAGAAGGTGCCACGTTCATCCTGTGGTGAGGCAGCAGAGCCGCCACTGACCACTGCGTTCTTTTGTTTTGCAGTGCCGGCTGCTCCCAGTACAAAGCCTCCAACCTCTACCAGCCCAGGTCCAGTACACCCGATTTCTCTCCAAATGGCCTTTGAGCACTTGGGGACTTTCTGAAAACCCTTTCTGTTCCTCTGCTTGATGCTTATCTGCCATCTTTAGAGTTTTTTAATTTTTGTTTATTTCATTATGCACACAAGAGCTGGGGTATAGGCCAAAGGTGTGGGAGGGGTGAGAGGATTCCCCAGAGATAGAGTGGGGAGCAGAACAAGTGGATCCACTGAAACACACTGCTAAGGGGAGCAGCAGGGAGACATGAGAAGTCTGCTGCACCCTGTGGGTCACTTCCTGGCTGGGGATGGATTCTGGCTGCAGCGGCTGTGGATGGCTCCATAGTGCTGAGACTCAACCCTGCACCCCAGGGAAGGCCCACCTTTGCCATTCTTGGTAGCACAGGGCCTGCGCAGCTGCTGCCTTGCCCTGCGTGTCTAGGTAACCCGCCCAGTCCACAGATAGCAGCTGCTGGAGTGCCTGTGCGGTGCTGGGGCTGAGCCAGCTGGCGGCCGCCGTGAGAGCTGGCGTGGTCAGCTGGTCAGCGCGAGCTGCTGCAGACAGAGCCTTAGAGCCGCATGTGCTGTACCCCCAGCCTGGCGTGTGCTCCAGCTCCCTTTTCTGCTTTAAAGTCATGTCTGCTCCTCCGCTGGCTATGTCCTGGCCCAGGCTGGGCCGGTCCCCAGTGTGGCCAGTTCAACTCTGTCTCTGGTGTGTTGGTACCAGGGTCTCTGGGCTGCTGTGGAGCCCCTGAGTGCCTTCTCCATGGAGGGCTGAAAGAGGGGCCCTCTCCCAAGCTAGTGCCTCTGCCAAATTCCCTGCTGGTGACACGAGAGACAGCAGGAGGGGGAATAAAAGAAAATACAAAATTAAAGTTTAAAAAAAAATTAAATTACCAAAATCAGAAGAGGTTGCACTTGCAGGCTGGACCAAAGGATGGAATTTATTTTCCAAGCTCCAAGCCCGTTCCTCCAACCTGGCCTCCTGTTTCAACTCATCCAGGTCCAGTAACTCCTGCAGGCTCTTTGCTTTAATTTGTCAGTTAGAGAAAGACTTTCCCAAAAGTACAGTCTTGGCACCAGTGTCAGATGGTGTTACTGTGGGTCTGACCCGACTGTGCTAGTGTGAAGAAATTTGGGGGAGATACTGCAGTGAGAAGACCAGGATTTAGCTGCCGGGCAGGCTACCAACTGGGTGACTGTTTGCAGATGACATGTTTGCTCTGAGCATGTGTCTGACTGAGTGTGGGTGCTGCTGGGTTTCCTCTCCAGTTGACACTGTGAGGGGCATCCTGGCGGGTGCATGCTTGACTCTTGTGTCAGTGTGTGTTTAGGTAAAACTCCCAGATGTAGAGCTGTAGCCAGAGGTGATGTGCAGATTCCAACTAGAGAAATGATCTTTAAAAAATCAGATGTCAGCATGGAAGGCCTGCACCGGCAGGCTGGTGAACAGACGGAATTTATTTTCCAGGCTCCAAGCCGGTTCCTCCAACCCGGCCTCCTGTCTCCACTCATCCAGGTCCAGTAACGCCTTGTCTTGTGTCTGTGTGTGGGTTTGCTCTCATCCCTTCCCCGCCCTCACGCACCACGTTTCCTGCAGCTGTCCCGGGCACGCACTGGATGCGAGCCCATCTGTACTCACTCCTACCCCCGGCCCTAGTGGGCCGAACCTCGGGCCCACCTCGGGCCCACGTCCACCCAGTGTCCTGGCCCAGGCCTGGGCCCGTTCCCGGGACGGCCAGTTCAATTCTGTCTCTGGGCCACTGTGGGAAGGCCCTGAGTGTGCTCCCCATGGAGGCCTGAGGGAGGGGTCCTCTCCTGAGCTAGCACCTCTGCCCGGCTCCCTGCCAGCGGCATGAGAGACAGCAGGAGGGGGAATAAAAGAAAATACTAAATTAAAAGTCAAAGAAAATTGTTAATAAATTATCAAAGTTAGACAGAGGCCTGCCCTGGCCGGCTGGTAAATGGACGGAATTTATTTTCCAGGCCCTGAGCCCGCGGTCCCTCCACCCTGGCCACCAGATTCAAGCAATGCAGGCCAGTAACACACCTAGTTTGCCAGATTCTGTAACGTGGTGGGTGTGATGTGGCGTCGGCTTTACTTTTCACTGCCTTGCTTATCAGTGAGGCTGACCCTTTAGTACTAGCACTCACTCACCAGCGCTCCTCAAGCATGTGAGCATGGTGTCACGTGCACTGTGACTCTGCCCTTTCAATGCAAGGTGAATATTTTTTTCAAGTGTTTTTTTTTTTTAAGATTATTTATGCATACAAGAGCTGGGGTACAGACCAGAGATGCGGGGGGTAAGAGGATTCACCAGAGACAGAGTGGGGAGCAGAACAGGCAGACTGACTGAAATACACTGCTGAGGGGAGCAGCGGGCAAGACAGGAGAGGTCTGCTGTGCCATCTGGGTTGCTCCCTGGCTGGCTAGGGATCGAAATCGTGAACTCGTGCTGCGGAGCCTGCTGATTGTTTCATAGTGCGGTGCTTAACCCCTTGAGCCACCAGGGAGGCCCTGGTTTTATTTTGTTCTGTTTTGCCTTGTTTTCTTAATAAGTTTTAAGCTTTTTTTAAATATAGATTTATTTATTTATGCATATAAGAACTGGGGTACAGGCCGGAGGTAAGGGGTGGGGGGGGGGGTGAGAGAATTCCCCAGAGATAGACTGAAGAACAGAACAGGCAGACTGACTGAAATACACTGCTGAGGAGAGCAGCAGGTGAGACAGGAGAGGTCTGCTGCGCCATGTGGGCAGCTCCCTGGCTGGGGATTGAACTCATGCTGCAGTGGCTGCAGATAGCTTCAGAGTGCTGAGACTTAACCCCTTGTACCACCAAAGAGGCCCAAGTTTTAAGCTCTTTTATGTTGTAGTGTTCACTAGAAATGGCTCTTTATGCCTTTTAATCATTTAAGTATCACATTAATATAAACTTATATGATTTTTTTTTTTTTTTTAAAGATTTATTTATTTATTTATTTATTTATACAAGCACTGGGTACAGTCAGAAGCGCGGGAGGGTGAGAGAATTCACCAGAGCCAGAGCGGGGAGCAGAGCAGGCAGAAGGACCGAAGTACACTGCTGAGGGGAGCAGCGGGCGGCAGGAGAGGTCTGCGCGCCATGTGGGACCCTCCTCCGGTGGCCGGGGAGCAGCCGGGGATTGAACAGGCGCTGCAGAGGCCGCAGGAAGCTTCGCAGCCCAGCGCTCAACCGCTGCGCCACCAGGGGAGGCCCTATGATTTTTTTTTTAAGATACATTTATTTATACAAGAACCAGGGTACAGGCCAGATGTGTGGGAGGGTGAGAGGATTCACCAGAGACAGAGCGGGGAACAAAACAGGCAGACTGACTGAAACACACTGCTGAGGGGAGCAGTGGGCAAGACAAGAAGCCCTAAACTTACACAGTTTAAAAGGTTGAAGGAAAGCGGTGAAGACCCCACTGGTTGTGGGCCTGCCCGGGTGCCCTCGCGCACCTGCGTGCCTGGGAGCCATGGGGACAGCTGGCACCTTTTGTTTCCTTCTAAAGGGCGTCCTGTGGTGCCCATTTTCCAGAGCCTGACACTGTCCCTTCATGTCTCGGAAGGGCTTGTGTTTGGGTTTGCCCCACTGGTGGCCACCCCCACGTTGCCCGTGACTGGTCTCCTGCAGGCTCCATGCACATGTGACCCCGAGCAGGCCTGGGCTTCTCTGACCTGTGCCGTGGGGGCCAGGGGTGATGGCCACACCCCTCCTGCATCCTGCTGCTTGGCCTTGAAATTGCAGGCATCCACAGGAAGGCAGAGCCTGCCTCTGCCTGCATTGTGCAGCCTTGGGTCTGGTGTCCCTGGGCTCCAGGGCTGTGCCTGTGTCCCAGCTGCACAGGGCTGGGCAGTGCCCAAGAATGCACTTCTTTCTCTCAGTGCTGATGGCTGCCCTCCAGCCTTTTTCTAGATCAGCTTCTCTTGTTCAGCCTGCCCCGTGCTGCTTCACGGCTCTTTCCAGTGGACCTTGGGGCATCAGACCCCGCCCTTTCCTCGTCAGCCACCGCCTAAGCCGCCTCATGGCACTAGGTCACTGCGGCTGGCCTGGGTGTCGTGCTCGAGGCCCATGTGTGTGTTATGGGGATGCTCCTGGGCCTGCTGCTGGCGCCATGGTGGTGGTTGCCCCAGCTCCTGATTCAGGGCTGGAGCCGGGGCCACCGAGTCTCCTGGGGTGTCTGCCTGTGGCCCCATCTCTTCACCTGTTGCCAGCATCTCTGCTCGCAGCAGCTGTGTAGACCCTCGTGGCTTTTCTTGGTGCCTTCTGGCCAGTCAGCAGCAGTCGCCCTCACACGGGCCTTCCACCCTCTCATCAGCCTTCGCAGAAGTTTCTGTTCCATCCCTTTGCTTGCTTCTGACTTGGCTTGTGAAGTGTTCAGAGTCGGGTCCACGCTTTTGACGTGAACCCATGTCCAGCAGGTGGTGGCCGAGCTCCACCCACTGGCCACCCCTTTGGGGTCGGCCTTTGATACAGGAAAGTCTTGAATCTGGAATCCATTCACCCACATTATCTTGTCTTTTGTGCCTCTAGTGTCATACCCAAGAAACCATTACCAGGCCCACCGGAAGCCCGCCCTCTGTTTCCCCTACAGTTTGGACTCTCGCATGAGTTCTTAGCCACGCTGTGTCTGCTTTGGCACCATGGTGTCAAGCTGTGGTCCAGCCTCATGCTTCCGTGTGTTCCGGGGCCCAGTGGCCGTCCTCACCACATGAGGGCAGTGTGTCCTGCGGCAGTGCTGTACCCCCGTGCCCTTGGGCGCTGTGTGTCTGCCAGTGCTGTTGTGATAATTGCTTTGTCGTGGGCTTGAAACCAGGAAGGGCAGATTCTTTCGCCTTTGTTCAGGATTGTCCCAACTGCCCCGAGTCCCGGACGTGCCATCTGAAGTTGAGGTTGTAGTTTTCCATTTCTGTAAAACCGCTGTTTTAGCCGGGGAAGCCTGGGTCTGCAGGCTGCTCAGGGAGAGTGTGGTTCTCCAAGCACCAGGTGTGCGGGCACCCAGCTCCGGCCAGCCTGCCTTTTGCGCTCTTCCTCACCTCTGCCTGCTGAGTGGCAGTTATCAGTGTGAGCCTCTTGGTTAAGTTTTTAATGTAAGTATTTCGGTCTTTCTGATGTATTACAAAGTTGCATGACTTCTTGGCCTCCTTTTGGATTGTTCATTGTGTACAGAAGCACAAATAGTGTGTAGGAGTTATGTTCACTTCCTGCAGCTTTGCTGGATTCAATTATTCTCAGATTTGCGCGTGTGTGTGTGTGTGTATGTGTCAGTGTGTGTATGTGTGTCAATGTGTGTGCGACCGTATGTGTGACAACCTTGTGTGGGGCCTGTGGACACAGGTCCCTTCCTGCTGCTGCCCCTTGAGTGTCTCCTCTCCCTCCCCTGCCTAGCTGCTCTGACTGGACTCCCCAGCATCATGTCGCTTGGAAGCTGCATCCTGTCTGGTTTCGCGGGGAAGCTCACGTCCGCCTGCGTGGGGTATCATCTGTGGCTTCACGTGTGGATGCTCATGGCCGCGCCCCCCTCTACTACAGGTCACCTCTTGGTCACCTCTTTAAGCCCCCAATAGCGTTCAGCAAGTGGAGCCACAGCCGATGTGCAGGGTGACCCGGCTGGTCGCCGCACTCGCTCAAGCTCAGGGCCTTATTGCGGAGAGCCGCTGGAGGGGAAGTAGATACAGCTTTTGAGCAGAAAAATTAATAGTATTTAAGGAAATGATACAAAATGGTTAATAACCCAAACCTATGGATTTAGCAGTCTCGAAGCTTTATGGTTTTATTTTTCTCACTTCTATTTTTCCTTCAGGAGATTTCAGCGGTGGAACCACCTCTGAGGGCATAGGTACGACCTGCTGGTTAGGGACCCCACAGGGTGTGACCAGAGCCAACCGTGGTGGCCAGGCCTGTGTCTGTGGGAAGAGCAGAGGCCCCATGTCGCCTATGGGTGTGGCTGCCGCTTGCATTGGCAACTAGTATGGACATGTGGGAAGTGGGTGCCGGGTCTGTGGGGTGAGCCATGTGCGGCTCCCAAGGGGTGCCCTGGCGGTCCTGAGCCTGGTGGGACCTGCTGCCCTGCCAGGCCTGCTTGTGGTGGCCAGCAGTGCTGGCCCTGTGCATGCGTGCCCAGCCCCGCAGCCGGCGAGCCCCTAGACGGGCTGTGGAGCCTCCGGCAGGCCCCAGGGCAGGTGCTGTCGAGCAGCCATGCAGGCGGGTGGGTGCAGTGCCCCTGAGGGTGTCAGGCAGTGAGGGCCGTCCAGGTGGCTCAGCCTGGTGTACTCACCTCAGCCCAGAGTCTGGGGCCCTCGCGCGGGGACCCTGCAGTTGCAGGTGAGCTCCTGGAAAGTGCACGAGCCGCAATAAACGTACCTTGTGCTATCACTTACAGGAATTTAGCAGAACTGGGTGTTTGAAGCAAAAGTCCTACTGACAGACATTTCTTTCTTTTTAAAAAAAAAGATTTATTCATGTATACAAGAACTGGGGTACAGGCCAGACATGCGGGAGGGTGAGAGGACTGACCAGAGACAGAGCGGGGAACAGAACAGGCAGACTGACGAAATACACTGTTGAGGGGAGCAGCAGGGAGACAGGAGAGGTCTGCAGCACCCTGTGGCTATCTCCCTGGCCAGCTGGGATGGAACTGGCACTGCAGAGGCTGTGGACAGCTCAACTGCCTGCGCACCAGGGAGTTCTCTGACAGACATTTCTAAGAATTCAGATTTTATAGCAGTATTTGTCGTTTGCTGTCAAAACTGCACATTAGGGTTCCCGCACGTGGTTTTTATCTATCTCCTTTCCATTCTTAGCCTCTCCTTGGTCACTGGGACAATGTCTTACTGGGAGGGAGGTGCGGGCCTAGAGAGAGGCGGGTGATAAAGTGTTTGTGGGTCATCTATAAATAGCATCTGTGTGATTGAGTAATTGCATTTTTTAAAAATATTTATGCATGCAAGAGCTGGGGTGCAGGCCAGAGGTGCGGGGTGAGAGGGTTTGCCAGAGACAGAGTGGGGAGCAGAACAGGCAGATCCACTGAAAAACACAGAGGGGGGCAGTGGGGAGACAGGAGAGGACTGCTGCGCCCTGTGGGTCAGCTCTGTGGCCGGGGATCAGATTCTTGCTGCAGTGGCTATGATAAGTTCATAGTGCCGAGACTCCATCCCTGCGCCCCTAGGGAGGCCCGAGAGTACAACTGAGTTTATTTATGACTTAGTCCACCAACCTACTTTTAGAGGAAAGAAAAGTATGAATAAAATTACCAACAAAATCACTAGAAATACAGAATGAGCACTGAACTTAAATGGAATAATCCATTTTAAATGGGTCTCCGCTCACTCGTGAGTCCTGAGCATCCTGGTTACCTTCCCCAGAGCAGGCTGCTGGGTGCTGAGCCTGCCAGGCAGCCCCACCTCATGCTGGGACTGTGAGGGGTGTCTGGGCTGGGGTTTGAGGCAGGGTTACAGCCAAGGCCTCTGGCAGTGCCTCGGCCCAGGTGTCTCAGTGTGGCCCTTCTGTCTCCCTGTTCCCAGGTGCTGGCTTCATCGCCCTGATCGTGCTCACGATCTGTAAGTACCCGCTGCCACTGTGATCACCCCAGATCCTGCTTACTCACCAGTCTCCATTTCTGGGAATTAATGAGCGGACAGTCCCAGGAAGCCTGGTTTTGTGTGTGACCTTGCGTCCCAGTGGTGACCCTGCACTCCTGCCAGTCAAATGCCTGCGGCTAGCCCAAGGCCAAGCACACTGCGCAGGCCTCGCAGGCATTGGGCACTTTTTGTTGCGGGGGAGGGGGCTGCATGCCAGGGAGCAGGCGCGGCCCTGGGATCATCTCCTCTGCTGGAGCGCGACTCGGCGTTGCGGGTCGAGGTCACAGTCTGTGTCTTCATTTCTTATAGTGGGTGCTACCACGGCTGTGGGCTTGGGCCTATACCGGTACCAGCAGCACCTTAAGTCCAGGTGAGTGCGCCTGGCCCCTGCTCTGCCCTGCCCTGCCCCCTCGTGCCATGCTGCTGTGCCCATGCCACTGGTGCCCCGAAATGGGGTCCCACGAGATAGCCCCTCTGGGGGCACTGTGTCCTGCCGCTGGCGTGGCCTCCAGAGAAGCTTCTGTGGGTCTTGAGGGGTAAGTTCTGCTTCAGCCGTGGCTGGTGATGGGGCCTCCCACCTGCACACGCCGCTGCAGGAGTCCCCTGGAGACTGGGCGGGGGTGCCCGCCGCCCCAGAGCACGCCCGTGCCGTGTGGCCGAGCAGGGGTGAACCCAGGGCCACTGATCCCAGCAGGGCTGTCTGCCGGGCACGGCCAGCTGGAAGGCAGCGCAACGAGTGCGTGCCAGGCCGGCACCTCGCGGTGGCGTGTCCCCTTAGGAAGATGGAAAGGCACGGGGCGCTGAGATGTGGCTTCCAAGGGGAACAGCATTTTTAAACATCAGGCCTAACTTTCCTGAAGTGGTTTTCAGTTTAACAGACGATCTGACGTGGCGCTGGGGCACAGGCCAGGCCAACACGCTGCACAATGCGCATTTCCCCTGCAGCTCTTCGAAAAGAACTTCCAAAGTTAAAGCCAGGAGGGCCAGACTTGCTGGGGTGGCTCGGAGAGCACTGGGTGCCCCACACCCCCGGTGGCAGCGCGGGGAGAGCTGGGGTGTCCGCAGGACTGGAAGGCACCTGGGCGCAGACTGTGGGGTTCCCGCTTCCGGTTTGTGCCGCCTCCACAGTGCTGGCTCGAGGGGCGTCGCCAAGCCCGGCCGCCACGTGCCACAGTCCTTAAAGGCGAGCGGCAACCCCAGCTCTGTACCCCCAAATTAAGGCTCCAGCAGCATAAGCGAGCTGACAGAAGTAATTTGTTTTGTGATATTTTTAAAACTCAGGCTTTATAGTGTAGAGTCCATATATTTGTAAAGAAAATAGGAGGTTTCCCTGTTAAATCTGTAATTATTAAGGACAGGACTGGCACCTGGCCAGTCCCCACCGCAGCAGTGGATGTTGGGGGAGGGAAAGTCCAAAAAATGATGGGGGAGGTTAAGCAGCCTCTCCTCCAGGGAGAGCCAGCCTTGTGCAGACCCCACCCTGGGCTGCAGATGAACCCTGACTCTGCCCCCCTGGTGCGACTCCCCTCCAGGTGGGCCACCTGAGCTTCTGGGCTCCCCTGGCCTCGATGCCAGGCCTTGCAAGGCCCTTCTGTGCCCAAGTCCCTGCCTGTACCATGTGGTGTCCTCCCATGCAGGGCTCACTGCCTCCAGTGCAGTGTCGATGGAGATGACTGCAGGCCCTGAGGGTGCTTGGCAAGTCTGTCTCATGGTTCCTATGAGACAGGCTAACCCATTTTCTCATCTAGGTTGTTTAAGGATGTTTGTTCCTTAAGTCTCTTCGTAATGTCTGACCTGTACTGGCTAAACCAGAGACTGTGTCACCTGAGGGTGCCAGGCAGAATGCACAGCACAGCTGGCCCAGGGGGCACAGGTTCCATCCATAGGGAAGGAGGGTGTGGAGCTGGGAATGGCAAGTCTGGGCCAGCAGGGACTGGCGGGGCCTGTCTGGGTGGGCAGATGATGGTCCAGTCATGAGGGTGGGGTGATGGCAGGTCTGGTCAGCGTGGAGGAGGGTGCAGAGAGGGGGTGGCAGGTCTGGTCCAGGGGGTGGTGGTGAATCCTGCCCACCAGGGAGGCTGGGGCAGCAGGGGATGGCTGCTCTGATTCGCATAAGGGTCCGACCTATTCCCAGCGGACAGTGGGCGGAGCCTGTGGGAACAGGGTCTCTGTGGCTGGCTCAGAGTGCACGCTCTGCCTCAGAGGCACAGTCATGCTGTGGCCTCCCCGCATCTTCCTTCACGTAAGGACAGACGCACCAAGAGGAAGCTCCTGGGCCCAAGGCAGCTTGGGGCACCTGTGGGGCCCAGCCTGTGCTGTGGCTCCAGGACAGGGCGAGGCTGGGCGGCGTTGGGGGCACACCATGGTGGGCAGGAACCTAGCAGCGCTCAAGCCGCCTCTCACAATGAAGCTGTTCAGGTTCAGAGGCCTGGGACGTCCCGTAAGCCTGCGTCATCAGCTGTGCCTGCCCACCCTGGTGATTGCATCCCCAGGCTGCCGGCCACTCCCTGGGGCCAGCAGGGTCTACAGAGGCGCGACCGGCCCTCGCTGCTGCTTCCACTCCAGCTGACAGGCAGCTGCTGTGGGACCAACCTGCACCTGCTCCTGCACAGTGTGGGCCCCTCTGGTGTCCGCTCAGGACTGGCCGCAGTTGCCTTTCCTGTATATTTAGCTTACTTAGATATGACTTTAGGAGAATTACAATCTGACCGTGGTTTGCATTGTATTCTTTGGGCAGCGCTGCACTAGAATGGCAGGTTTAGAGCCGTGTTCACTGTGGAGAAGCCATCTTGGGACACGCCGCTGCCTCCACCACGAGAGCAAATGGGCATTCTTGAACTAGCACTTTTGGAATCCTTAGCTTTTTAAAAATTTCCCCTCCAGGCCAGATGTAAAATTGCGAGATTGGGGAGACGCATCTCCCTATGTCCCCCACTGACCGGCAGTCAGAGCAGCAGCGGGCCCTGGAACTGGCAGAGGGGGGAGTAACGGGGCTGTCAGGGGTGGCTCCGCAGGGATACTGGGTCGTTTGTTTCCCAAACTGGGACTCTGTACCAGAAACACGGGGTTTAAAAATGATTTGTTTTCTGAATCTGCTTCCGGTACTTAGTCTCTGTTCTTAATCCGGTTTCTCTCTGATGCTATCTCTGTACTTGCCTTGTAGGAAAAGGAAATCAGATCTTACGCCCGAATATAGCGCCTACCAGGATAAGTCCACCATCCCCACAGAAGAGCCGCAGTAGATGGCTGCCCTGCCCACAGCCGCCCTGGTTCCGTTAAGAGGTGACTGCCTAGTAGTTGGCCCATCTGCTCTGGAAAAGAACATGATAGTTACATTAAAAAAAAAACAAAAACATATACACAACTACTCCCCCATGATGCACCCCTTCCCATTCGGATGTTAATCAGGAAAAAGCTGACCCCATGCCCGCCCCTGCCTGTCCTATGAGAGCTACGCCATGAGAACAGTCTGCGTGTGCCTGCTGGGGTGAGTGGAAAGAGACACTGTGCACCAGCGTGTACACTTACAGGCCAGGACGTGGACTACTACTCCACTGTGAGAAGGAATTAAATCCTGTGTGCCCTAGGTGGTGGCATCACGCTCAAGGTAGTGAATCAGTCAGACTCACCCATGTGTGTAACAGTCACAGCTTTTCCAGCAACCCAATAAAAAGGGTAAACTTGTTACAGGGCAACCCCAATATGAAATGGGTTGCCTGACAGGGTCCTTACCCGTGCGCACTTTCAAGGGACTTACTAATACTCAACTGCAGGCACACACAAAAGGTTAATAAGGGGTTATTTACAAAAGAAAGGGGATATGAAGAAATGAATAACTCAGGGAGAAAAAGAGGGAGATAAATTTGTGGACGTGTCCACAAAACCTGTATGGAGTTTGCTCAGGACATCCTTTCCCCCTAACAAACTCCCCGAAAATCAGACTTGTGGTCACCAGGGACAGGAGTGAGGCGAAAGGTCACAGGTCATAATATTACAGGGCAGGTAGAGGGGTACCTTAGAACCCCCAAACCTGCCTGCACTAAATAGGTTCTCCTATCCACCATATCAAGACAAAACATATAAGATCTTTAATGGAAAAGAACTTTAATACAATTAGGGAACAATACAGAAAATACAAAGAACATGGTTTCCAAATCAAGGACCCAGAGTTACCTGTCCCTTCATGGGTAAAAGTCCAGCCAAATGGGACTGGCCCAGAGCAAGGCCCGAAAGCTACCACAGTCTAAAGCACCTTCCATCTGGGACCCATAGAACAGGGTCAGAAACAGACAAGTCTGGGAGGAAAAGAGTAAAATCAAGATAAGCTGCCACTGTCACTTCCCCATGGGTCTCTCACCCACGTCTGTTTCCATCATACCAGGACCACAAGGCAAGCGCATTTCTTCACATGTCTCTCTGCTCCATGTGGCTCCTCCAGGTCTCCTTCTGGCTCTCCATCCTGCTTCCTTCCTTCCTCAGTCTCCTCTGCAGCTTCTTCTCCCTGCTCAGCTCCACCCTCCCCTGGGTGGGGCAGGGAACCTGGCACCTCCCCCTTTTCTAGGGACTCCCCTGCCACACCAAGAGAAACAAGGGCCAGGTTATCGTGGACAGGGATGGCTGCTGCAAAGTCACTAAGACCAGATCCCAGAACTTTCCATCACATAGAGAATAAAATGGTCTTGTGACTCTGGCGACGGATTTGTCTCACCGTGGTCATTGCACATGTGGTCAACACAAGGTCACCGTGACCACAAAGCTCAGGGTGCCGCGCAGCCGTCAGTGCGTGGGGGTCTGGGCACTAGGCCAGGTGGCGTCCCCGAGAGGCAGCTGCTCGCATGGCCCAAGGTAGTGTTGTCACTGAAACCTTAAGGCAGTGAGATATATAACTTTTTAGATAAAAATTCAAATTTGGAGAAATAGAGTTCAAAATGAAATTCCACTTATAAAGGAAGTTACTCTGCAATCTTTCGTTCAAAGCTGAAGGCCCACTGGAGCTACACCCATGCGCGACTCAAGGGGGTCCCCTGTGTGGGTGGGGTCTGCTCCAGGCCTCAAGCATAGCCTCGGACGGCTCCACAGGGGGTTGGGCACCCAACCGACACTCTTCTCACTAAGAATGTTGCTAGAAGAGAGACATTAACCAAAACAAAGGACGCCCCACTGATTGGGAGAAAATTTTTGCACACAACACTAATAAGGGACTGATCACAAAAATCTACAAAGAGCTGACTAGACTCAACAAAAACAAAGTAAATAACCCAATCAAAAAACAGGCATAAGGGGGGTGGGGAAGGAGAGGAGGGATTAGGGTCAAAATGAGGGGGGTGGGAATTGTATGGGGAATATAACCAAAGTGGAAATGCATACATTGTGCAAAAAATGAAAAGTGATGTAAGAATTATGTAAAATAATATATATAAAAAATAAAGTTACGTAAAAAAAAAAATAGGCATAACAGCTAAAAAGAAACTTCTCCAAAGAGGAAATGCAAATGGCCAACAGGCATATAAAAATATGTTCAATATCACTTGTAATCAGGGAAATGCAAATCAAAACTACAATGAGATAGCACCTTACACCAGTGAAAATGGCACATAGTAAAAAACCAGCAGCAACAAATGTTAGCGAGGATGTGGAGAAAAAGGAACTCTCCTGCACTGCTGGTGGGAGTGCAAACTGGTCCAGCCACTATGGAGAGCTGTGTGGAGAGTCCTCAATCTGCCAAAAATGGAGCTACCATATGACCCAGCAAGTCTACTCCTAGGGATCTACCCAAAGGATACCTGCACCCTTATGTTTATTGCAATAAACATAGGTAAGCTATAGAAACAACCCAAATGCCCAAAAACATGACTGGATCAAGAAGATGTGGTATATGTACACAATGGGACATTACTCAGCAATCAAAAAAGAAAACTCATGCCATTTGCAGCAACGTGGATGGAGCTGGAAGGGATCATGTTCAGTGAAATAAGCCAGAAGGAAAAAGAAAAATACCGGATGGTCTTGTTACAGGGCAGGGAGAGGGGCACCCTAGAGCCCACAAACCTGCCTGCTCTAAATAGGTTCTGCCATCTGCCACAACACAAAACACGAGACTTTAATGAAAAGGAACTTTAATACAATTAGTAAACAACCAGGAAAGGCAAAGAATATAGTTTCTAAATCAAGCACCTGGAGTCACCTGTCCCCTCTTGGGTAAAAATCCACCCAAACAGGATTGACCCAGAGCCTGGCACAAGTCTAAAGCATCCTCCAGTGGGGACCCACAAAAAAGGATCAGAAACAACCAGACAAGTCTGAAAAGAAAAGAGTAAAATCAAGGTAAAAGTTGCCATTGCCATCCTCCCCACGGGTCTCTCACCCACATATGTTTCACCTGGTCCATGACCAAAAAGGCAAGTGCAGTTTCTTCACATGTCTCCCTGCTCCATGTGCCTCCTCCAGGCCTCCTGGCTCTCCATCCTGCTTCCTTCCTTCCTCCGTCCCTTCTGTAGCTTCTCTCCCTTCCTTGCTCAACTCCACCCTCCTTTGGGTGGGGCAGGAAACCTGTAACTTCTCCTTTTCTTGGGAACCACCCTGTTACAATCTCACTTATAGCAGGAATGTAGAGAATCCAAATAAAGGTAAGGGATCAGGAAAAAAAACTAAAAATCAACAGGCAACTATAAACACCACACATTCTGCAGGGGTGGGAGGAGGAGAAGGGAGTAGGATCAAAACAAGGGTGGTGGGAATTTTATGGGGACTGTAGCCGAGATGAAAGGCATACATTGTACAAAAATGAAAAATGATGTAAAAATATATATATGTAAAAAAAATGTCGCTAAAAAATACTCTCGGTGGGTAGCGCCACGTTGGTGTGAAACTCGCGTATGCAAGTTTGTGCCTGGCATCCAGTGCTGCTGCTGCTGACATCAGAGCAGCTCAGAGCCACGCAGGTGGACGCGGTTGCACGTCCTGGGAGTGCTCGGCCCGGCCCCCAGGCACAGCCCCTCCTCGCATATGGCGCACTAGTCCCAGCCACGGCGAGCTGGACACAGACCGCATGGGAGACTCACAGCGGGTGCGGCAGAGCAAGCAGCCAGGTCTGCCACATGCAGGAGAAGCATGTCGAGACCACAGGAGTCTGGTCTTTGGGCAGAGGGGCAGTGGCGAGTCCAGGAGGTTGGTCCCAAGAGAGACCAGGATGGGAGAGCTCACAGTGAGACCCCGATGACAAATGGGCCGAGGAGTGAGCAGATGGTCAGCAGGTGGGCACCCAGGCAGTCAGCATTCCCTCTGGCCTGCCCCTCGGTTCCACCAGCGACAAGCAGACCCAGGAGAAAGGAGCTGGGGTGCGAGGGCACTGGTGGCTCCTGGGAAAGAGTGGGGGGCAGGCAGGACCTCGGTGTCAGGGGTGCGGGGTCACCTTGGGGCAACCGCAGTGGCCCGCATCACTCCTGGGGACTCAGCTTTAAGGACGAAGAGACCGGGGCACCTGTCCTGTGAGACGGCCCACCGTGGGGGCGACCTCGGGGCCTGCTTCCTGCCCAAGGGGACAGGGTCATGGTGGGACGAGGCTGGGGGCCGCGGGCTCCCCGTGTTTCCGTCTTCAGCACTAATTGGGACAAAGCAGTATTGAGTGCATCCACGCCTCATCCTGGCGGCCGAGTCAGGTCAGAGCGAGTCTGCACAGATGCGGCTGGGTGGGCAGAGCCATGTCCCTGCGTTGCTATCCAGGAGGGGGCGAGGCCACCCGACCTGCACTGGCTGTGCTCCGTGGCTGCACCCGTGCAGCTCTACCATTACATGTGCAAACATAAGTTGTGCTCACTGTGTTGCTTTCTATTGGAAATGTTATTAAAATGATGGGGCGGGCCTCCCCGGTGGCACAGCAGGTTGAGTGCCACGCTGTGAAGCTGTCTGCAGCCTCTACAGCGCTGGTTCAATTCCAGGCCGGCCAGGGGGAGACCCACATGGTGCCGTAGACCTCTCCTGTCTCCCTGCTGCTCCCTTCAACAGTGTCTTTGATCCTCTGCCTGTTCTACTCCCTGCTCTGTCTTTGGTGAATTCTTTCACCTTCCGGCACCTCTGACCTGTACTCCAGTTCTTGTATAAATAAATAAATCTTTAAAAAATAAAATAGAGGTGGTGGGGGGAAGCAAATATTGTTTAAAAATGAAGAATGATGTAAAAAATATATAAAAAAATGAACAATGATGTAAAAAATATATAAATAAAAAAATCTTCACTTTAAAAAATATAAGGGCCTCTCTTGGTGGCACAGTGGTTGAGCGCTGGGCTGCGAAGCTGCCTGCAGCCTCTGCAGCGCAGGTTCAATCCCCTACTGCCAGCGAGCGTCCCACATGGCATGGCAGACCTCTCCTGTCTCGCCTGCTACTCCCCTCTGCAGTGTATTTCATCAGTCTGCCTGTTCTGCTTCCCACTCTGGCTCTGATGAATTCTCTCACCCTCCCGCATTTCTGACTGTACCCAGTGCTTGTGCAAATAAATAAACCTTTAAAAATAAATATATAAAGTAACTGATTTCAATGGCAAAAAAAATAAAATAAATGATGGGGCAAGAACTTAAGTTTCTCCACCACACTGAGATGGAAACGGCACACAGAGGATTTTGTTCTTCGCCTGAGGTGATGGTAGAGAGTAAATAAACCGTGGAGAAGTGCTCCTCTGCTGGCATTCCTGGCACTTCCCGCCCTGCACTGCATTTCCCCCTCCCCCACCCCGACCATCTCCCCATGCATGGCCCCCGCCATTCCCCTCAGCCCTCAGCACCAGCCCCTCACAGGACCCACCCCCTCCCAGCCCGTCGCCAGCCACAGCTCCACGTCCCGCCTGGCTAGCAGGCCGCCCAGTGCACCCAGGCCCAGCCATGGGGGCCAGGCCCGGTTCAGGCCCCCACATGCTGCCCAGCCTGGGCCTGGCCAACTCGCCATTAGCCCTGCAGTGGAGGAAACATGGCCGGCGTGGCTGGTGACAGGGTTAGTTCTTGCTGATGCCAAAGAAACTTGTTCTCTCAAATTTGACTTAATTCAGGCTGATGTGAGGCCGGACTGCGCCGGTGTCTCCAAGAAAACTCGGGGCACTCAGAGGAGAGAGAGTCCTCACACACATGGGCCCAGGGGGATTGCCCCCAAGTCTGAGCCTGAATTGCAGGGATGGTGAGGTTTTATACAGCATGTGTGTGGACACTCAACCCCAGTCCATCATGGACTGTGTTGTTTGGGAAGGGTCAATGTAGCCATGGCCACCACCATGGCTGTGCAATAGACCCGCAGGAACCTTCTGTCCTGCCAGCTCAGGCTCCAAGCAGCAGACAGAGCCACTTCCCACTCCAAGCCCCCATGTGCCATGCAGGGGGCAGGGCTCAGGCCTCCCCCGTGGCCCTCGGTCAGCCACGGCCAGCACCTCTCCCTGATGATTCTCTCGGCCCACAGTCTATCTCTCATAGAAACTTGGAGAGAGAAGGTGCAGAAGGTTGCCGTGGCTTTCTTTACCCACCTATTCAATCAGAAATGCCTGAGACCTGGCCTGAGGGGTGCAGCCTCCACCCAACAGGCAAACTCCTGCTATCAACAGAATAACCGTGTCAGCTAGAACGAATTTGTTTATTCTAGACCTTTGCATATCCGTCCAGGAAGACGGAAGTTAGCCAGCCTGCGGCTTCTGGGCGCCAGGCAAATGAACCAGTGCCAGGTTCCCCTTCTCTGGGCTCCTGGGGCCCTGGGGCCCTGCTGACCCCCTCCGTGGATCCGAGTTGCCGCCTTCCGTGCTTGGGCTCAGGCCCAGGCGAGGGGCTATCCGCTTCATTCCGGATCTACCGTTAACTCGCTCTCTGCTTTCTTTTCAGAAAAGCCATTTTTTTCCAAAGGTTAAACTGTCCCTTATTGCTTAAATATGGGAGGGATCAAATTGGGGCGTGTGGCCCATTGCTTCTCCGATTCTGGCTACTGCCACGGTGGCAGGTGAGCTCCCTGAGAACAGGTGGCACCGGCAGGGTCCCCCCTCCCGCAACTTATGCGTAGGAGCAGTGGGCGCCTCCTCAGACCCCATCCACCAGCTCCCACCAGCCGCCCCAGCGTCTACAACCCAAGCCCAAGGGAGCTGCCCGCCCATTCCAGCTGGTGCCCGCGCTCTGACTGCTAGACCTGCCACCACCGATGAGCAGAGGCTTCCGGGGGAACAGGGCTGCAGGGGCACCTGGCCTGGCCTTCAGGGCCTTTGTCTCCTCCCTTGCTCGAGGAGTGGCCGCCCCGAGCCGGTGTGGGTGCCCTCGGCTGTGACCATCCAACACCTCAG